CTGTGTTAGGCCTGATGTATATGAGGATGGAGAAGACAAGGTCACCTTGCCAGGAGTTTAGAGTTTGGTTAGGAGATAAGATGTATCCACAGGAATCAACATTATCCCAAGATGGTGAGAGCCAAGTGCAAATAAGGAAGTTCTTAGTTCAAAAGGAAAGTGACACTAAGGAAAGAGTTAATATTAATTGAGCAGCTGTCAGGGTATTTGCTTATTTAAATCCTCCCAAGGGATCCATGGGATTATATTATCCTCTTTTTTGGACCCAAGGAAGCTTCAGCTCAAGGAGGTTAATTTGCCCAAAACAAACCAGGTGGAGAGCTTGTGCAGGCTCCCTCTGTGGCATGTTGTGTTTTCATTAGTTGCTGTCTGCAATGACCCTCTCCCCCCAGCCAGTTCTTGATTAAATTGTGTTTTTGATGTCTCTCTATGTTCTCCATCCTGGATTACTAGCACTGCTGGTTCTGCCAACACTCCTTACGTCTGTCACCAGTCAGACCAAGCTGACCTACCTTTATCTGACCTAAACCTAAAGGTATTGACATAATTGAGCCTTTGGTTCTGTGTCTTCACTCTTGCTAAGTTAGGTGGCCCTTTTGTTTTTGTTGAGATACTTTGTGGTATTTTGTTCTAGTTTTCCTGTTTTTTTTTTTTTTTTAATGAAAGTAATCTACCTTTTTTAAAAAAAATTAATTAATTAATTAATTAATTTTTGGCTGTGTTGGGTCTTCATTTCTGTGCGAGGGCTTTCTCTAGTTGTGGCAAGCGGGGGCCACTCTTCATGGCGGTGCGTGGGCCTCTCACTATCTCGGCCTCTCTCGTTGCGGAGCACAGGCTCCAGACGCGCAGGCTCAGCAGTTGTGGCTCACGGGCCTAGTTGCTCCGCGGCATGTGGGATCTTCCCAGACCAGGGCTCGAACCCGTGTCCCCTGCATTAGCAGGCAGATTCTCAACCACTGCGCCACCAGGGAAGCCCTAGTTTTCCTGTTTCTAATGGGCAAAGCTGCACCATTTTTACTGTTTGTGCCTCAGCTGGAAATGAGGCTTCAGCTTTAATTAACCCGAGCAATCTGCGGCAGTGACCAGAGTCTTCAAACCTACCTTTGAAACTTGACTGTGATGCTCTGGAACTAAGTGATGATGAAGTGGACAATGTTGTTGAGATTTAGGTGGGATTTAAAGGTGGAAGAAGGATCAAGTCCTCCCACAGTTTAGAGATACCTTTTGAGGTTACTTTGAATTACTGGAAAGTTAAAAACGACACTGATGTAAAAGATGGAGCTTTAGAACACAAATAAGAGCGTAGTTTATTACTGTATTACCAATTTATCAGTGTTATTTTACATCTCTTTATAATTATTATTATTAATGGTATAATCAAAGTTTGATGTTTTTTTTTTAATTACTCCCTCCTGAGTGCATTGTCATGTCAAGGGTTTTTAAACAGTTGCTAACATTTTAATATTATATTCTCATCACATGATTAACTGTCAATGTGTTCCTTGTGTGGAAAAAGTTTACGTGAGCTGAGTGTTCATTATCTTCACTTCAGGCAGTTTCAACAAGAAAGGAAATAAAAAAGAGCTTGGCAAGCATGTGGGCTTCTTGTCTTATGTAAGCTGGCTTACATCCCACCTCCTGTGGGTAGAGCAGAAAATGGAAGGGCAAGAAATGGTGGTGCTAAACTCCTACCCATGGTTCCAGATGGAAAGAAGTAGGAATCCATCATGTTTATAAACTAGTGAAAGAAATGAATACATGCTCCAAGGCCACAATGTTTGCCCTTTCTGCTCCATACCTCCGATGGCTTACACATTTTAAATCCCCAAATGCTCTTCAAGAAAGAGGAGCAGTTTATCCTGGTCAAAGCACTTAGATAGAGTTATACAAACTTCATAGTCAAGAAATGAGACCTAGAACCTGGCTACATTTCAGAATTCCATTGCTGGCTTTTACTCTACAAAGATTCCAGGAGGTGGGAGACTAACAGGGTGTACTCCTAGATGTATACAAGATCCTGTAGGACTCAGGAAGCCACAAGGAATATGTCCGATGAATTTATCTGAACAATTAAATCCCTCAGCATCCTTCCTCCAGGAGAGGGTGTCCTGGCAGGGATCTTGGCCTAAGCATGAAACCTTTTTTTTTTTATTTTAAATTTATATTTTGTTGTTTTCCCTTCATATTTTATTAAATTTCTAAACGGTTATTATAAACATTATTTTCAATGTTTCCCCCTTTTTCTTTTTTAAAATTTATTTATTTGGTTACACCGAGTCTTAGTTGCAGCAGGCATACTCCTTAGTTGTGGCACATGTGCTCCTTAGTTGTGGCCAGCGGGCTCCTTAGTTATGGTATGTGAACTCTTAGTTGCAGCATGCATGTGGGATCTAGTTCCCTGACCAGGGATCGAACCTGGGCCCCCTGCACTGGGAGTGTGGAGTCTTAGGCACTGAGCCACCAGGGAAATCCCTCCCCCTTTTTCTTTATCTTGAAAGGAAAGAAATACTGAGAATGGGAAGGCCTTGAAGAATAACAAAGAAGTGTTGCCTTTCTTGTCCAATCTCCCTGATCCCATAATTTTCATTCACAAAGAAGAGCAGAAGAACGTACCAGGTAGAGTGAATTATAGGAGCTAAGAACCAATATACATGACACGAAAGGAACAAAGGGAGTAAAACATGAAAACTTGGTCTGGGGACAAGTTGTGAAGGGTCTTGAATGCCATAATAGTTGGAATTTGGACTTTGTTCCATGAGTAATAGGGAGCCCTCAAAGCCTTCAAAAGATGGGAGATGGGATCATACTTATCCTTTAATTAACTGGCTTTGGAATCAGTGTAGAGAATGGATTGGGAAGGCGTCCAGAATACCAGTTAGGAGGTGGCTGAAATAGTTCAGGAAAGAAGATGACGGCACAAATTAAGGCGGTTTTGGTATAAATGAGCCATATTGGAAAAATTATGTTGGAGAAAGTATTTATGACACTTAGTCATATGAGAGGCAAAAAGATAACTTGGAGAAAAATAATGCCCTAAAGGATGAGCCTGAGACAAAAGGCTCATTAATCAAGAAGGAATTCATCGTAGGAGAGAAATTTAGTGTGTTTTGTGTTAGAAATGTTGAATTTGAAGTGTCCTTGTGACATCCAAATGAAGGTGTCCAGACAGTTAGAACCTTGGAGTTGGGGTTCAGCAAAAACGTTGAGACTGAAGATGAATATTTGCAAGTCCTCGGTATAGTCGAGATAGGGGAAATCTCCTAAGTGGATGAGGTTGCCCATAGGGAGAGGGTCTAGCATGGAGGAAGAGATGGCCCAGGACAGAACCCTGTCGTGGAGGAGTTGCCAGGGGAGACTAAGAAGGTACCATCTGAGATAAAAGGACCACACTGCAGAAGCCGAGGGAATCAACTCAAGAAGGAGCAGTTGTTGAGAAAGCACATTCAAAGGAAGCGTTAAGTTTGGGCCGTAAGGAAGTCACTGGTGGCCTTTTGAGAAGGCACTTGTCAAGGAACGAGAGGCCAGAACGGGGTCTTAGTTGTTGAGGCACGAACGGGAAGCAAGGAAGCGTACAGGAGCACAAAGGCTGCTCTTGGGAGACTCTGTAGTGAAGGAAAGAAGGGAAATGTGGCTTGAAAGGAAAAAACTGCTATTTGCATAGTTCTCTAGTTTTTAAGCACTTTTCCATCTGTTAGACTACTTGATTCCCAGTACAACTCAGGAGGAAGGAAGGGCAAGTACTGATCTGCCTGGGAACAAGATGAGGTTAAAAAGAGATTAAAAGTCTTGCCCAAGGTCATCTGTAGCAAATAAATGGAAGAGCTGAATTTAGAATTCAGGTTATTTGGCTTGTAATACAATCATCGTTCCACTGCGCCCAAACAGAGCATCTCTAAAGTGTTTGCTCTATTTGGATATTGGATACTAGAGGGCATTAAGCTCCTTCTTACAGGGGTTTTGATCTTATCTGGGGGGTAATGGGGGGCCACCGGAAGGTTTTGTGCAAGAGAAGGACATGTTTAAGTCAATGCCCGAGGGAGACACATCTGGCAGTGAGGTGTAGGTTATCTTAGCGGAACAGACACCTCAGGGGTAAATCATTACGACGTGGCTTCAAACTGGGACACAGCTTAAACATCAAATTACGGTGCTGAGAAAGTTACTTCCCATTCAGTTCTGTGGATCTTCTGTTTGTGTTAAGGAGAGGGACTCAGCTTGCCAGTATCTTTTTACACCCCTCAAACACTCTGTAAGCTCCTTTTTTCCCCCTAAATTCCCTTTTTTTTTTTAAATTTTTAAAAATTTTTTTTACGCGGGCCTCTCACTGTTGTGGCCTCTCCCGTTGCGGAGCACAGGCTCCGGACGCGCAGGCTCAGCGGCCATGGCTCACGGGCCCAGCCGCTCCACGGCATGTGGGATCTTCCCGGACCGGGGCACGAACCCGTGTCCCCTGCATCGGCAGACGGACCCTCAACCACTGCGCCATCAGGGAAGCCCCCTAAATTCCCTTTTGAACAAAGAGAGAACAAGCCTCAGGCTGAGAACGTCTTCAAGAAACTGTATTTTGCTAGACCTGAATTACATCATTTTGTGTTCACTCTATTTTATGAGCATTTTCCAGTTGTGACAAGTAGTACTGATTTCTCATCTATTATAATGATAGAAACATTACTATCAAATACATCTAAGTAAAAAAAGTCAGATTAAGGAAAAATATTAAGTCAATTTTAAGACAAATAGTGCATACATATGGGAAAGAAGCACTATGAATGTGCATTCTAATGACTATAAAGTTGGGGAACTTCTGGTCTTGGAGACTATTATAATAGGAGTAACGAGAATTTAGTCCAGGGTGAGATGATGGCAGTGGAAACAAAGGAGGCTCTGATAGACATTTTAGGGGAGTTAGAGGAGAGGACAGTTATCTACGTGGGGTATTTTCTGCATAATTTCCCAGGATGCTTATGGCTGCAATAAGAGAAAACTTAAATGAAAAAGGCTTGTGTGATGCATTGAACTTATTTTCTAATAAGAAGCCCCAAGGTAAGGGGGCTCCAGGATTGGTTAAATCAGTGGCCCTTTGACATCACTAAGGACTCAGCTTCGCTCCACCTTCCAACCTCAGCAAATAAGCTCGTCCTCAGGGCCGCAAAGTGGCTGACGGTGGTTGGAGCAGTCCTATCGTGACATCTGGTGCTTCAATGCAGGACGAACACATCTCTTCAGGAGACGAAGAGCAGAGGATGAAGAAATCTTTTCCTGAAGGCACCTCCACCAAAAGATTTTCCTGCAGGAATCATGTCACATATCAGGTGTAAACATTCACCGCAAAGGAGAATAAAATTAGCATAACTAATCTAGACTAATTAGGATTTATTCTCTGAGCTAGGGATACAGATCCTTTCCTGAGGGATGGCTTTCTCAAGGTAACAGGAGCTCCATTAACAAATATGGCCGGTAGGCAGTCAACCATTTACAACTTATACCAGTGGTTCTGAAATTTCTCAAATTAACCCTTGAACATAAGTGGGAAGTTCTTGAGGCTTGTGGTTCTTTTTTCAAAAAATTATTTGTCTTGGCTCTCCATGTGTTGGATTAAGGCAGAACGGAATACTTCCACTGCAAAATCAACTTCTGGTTTAGTGATGCACATCGAGGGTGCGATGCGGAATGTCTGAGGAGATAAAGGAAAATAGAGCAACGGATCATCATAGAATCAACTATGACTTCAAGGAAATGCATTAGATTAAGAATCGAACACCTTGTTTTCATGACATTCCTTATGTTTCCCTCAAGGGCTCGTCTCCTCCTCCCCAGTGCTGTATCTAGGCCATTCATCCTCTAGTCTCAAAAATTCTGGTACCATCCGCTCAGCCCCTTTTCCTTTTTGTCACCTGCTGACCTCCCGGTCCTTCCACCACCTCCACTGAGGTCTTAGGCCTCTATCTACCCTCCGTTTCTGCCATCACCGAGGTTGCCTTCTGTGGCCCTGTGTGCAGCCCAACAAACTAGCGTCTCAGTTTCTTGATCGCCACGACGCCAGGAACCTTCATCTGCATCCACTCACACCCCAGGCCAGCACCACGGGCCTCCTCTTCACTAGGGATTCTTCCATTTCTGATTCCCAGTGCATCTGCCCTTCCCATGAAAACTTCAGTCTCCTCCTCCCTCCATGAGCTTCGGGCCTCCTCTTCACTAGGGATTCTTCCATTTCTGATTCCCAGTGCATCTGCCCTTCCCATGAAAACTTCAGTCTCCTCCTCCCTCCATGAGCTTCAGGTCCGTCACCCCACTCAGATCTCGTCCTCCTGTTCCTACCCAGCTTGGAGCACAGGCTTGAGGACATGAACCCCTCTCTCACCTGCCCCCTCACTCTGCTTGCCTTCCTACCCTTCCGCTGCTGCACACACACAGCAAAGTCCCAGGTCCCATCAGAGCTCTAATAGAACTGTTTTGCTCCAACATAGAGAGCTGAGAAGTGGGAAAGAAAATCACACTGCTGGTGGACAGACACCACAAGGAATGCAGGGTCCTACTTCTGCTGGTGTCCTAAATGTTCAGGTCCTCTCGCCTTTGCCATTCTAATTTCCATTCCTCTCACTTTCCTCACTCAGTTCCTACACCCCTCACTCTGTTTCATAGACAGTCTTGCCTCATGCTCCTCAGACACTGTCAAGCAAGACCTTTCTATAAACTTGCTTGCTCCCATGTGCATTCTTATATCCTAGGCTGAAGGTTCAAGGAACAAATCATCTACGATTCGACTCCAAATTTTCCACCTGTGCCTTTGGCCCTTGCTTCTCCCATCACCTTCCCTCCAGGAAACATCCCTGCATTCTCTTGCATCTTCACCTTCTCCTCAACTTCCCCTCAGCCTATAAACAAGCAGGCTTTGGGCTTCCCTGGTGGTGCAGTGGTTGAGAGTCCGCCTGCCGATGCAGGGGACACGGGTTCGTGCCCCGGTCCGGGAAGATCCCACATGCCGCGGAGCGGCTGGGCCCCTGAGCCATGGCCGCTGAGCCTGTGCGTCCGGAGCGTGTGCTCCGCAACGGGAGAGGCCACAACAGTGAGAGGCCCACGTACCGCAAAAACAACAACAACAACAACAAAAAAAAAAAACCAAGCAGGCTTACAGCTCTCATAATCTAAATCCAAACCACACATAAAACCACAGATAAAAATGTGTTGACCCTCCTGGTCTCTTCCAGCTACCATACAAATACTATCCTTCCTTTCATCAAACTTATAAAAATAAAAGGACTGGTTGATGCTATTGGCCATTATTTTCCACTCTGCCTTCCCTCTATTCACATCTCAACTCATTGCAGCCTGGTTTGTGTCCCATCAACCTTCTGACCCCACCCTGAGGAATCCGACGGGCACGTTCCAGCCCTCATCCGTTCTGGCCTTCTCTTCTGCATGTGGAACTTCTGTTGCTCCCCCTTCCAGAACCTCCCCACTCTGGCTCCCATGACTTCACACCCTCCTAGCTCTCCTCACAGCTCTCCACCCATTTTGTGTCTCCACCTGGGTACCTCTTATTCCACCTGCCCTTTAAAAGTTGACGTGACCCAGGTGTCTATCCTCATCCCTCTGCATTTCGCATCTAGACTCCCTTCCCAGGAGATTTCCTCCTCTCCCCACTTCTATGCTGATGACCCCCAAATCGTGATCCTCACCTCGATTCTTTCCTCTGAGCTACAGAATTGTCTATAGATAGAAGGAGAGCAAGTTCAAAGCAGCACTCATCCCTTTATACCCAAATCCTGGGCATTCCACTGCCACATTGCTCTCTGGATGTCTCCTCTATCCCTACGGCTGCTGGTCAAGTTCAGACAGCATCATTAGCCTCCACCTGGACTCCCGGCCTCCAGTCTCGTCCCCTCAGGTTTACTCTCCTCTGAGGACAGATTCAGAAATCAGACTGCCTGAATTTGGATCCTGGTTCTGCCACTTACTAACTGTGTGACTTGGGCAATTTACCTAGCCTCTCTGTGCCTCTTTTTCTTCATCTGTAAAATAAGGATAAGAGTACTTATTTCATAGGCATGTTGAGAGCATTAAATGAGTCAACATATGAAAAGCATTTAGAACAGTGTATACTATCCCTTCGTATGGTTATCGGCAAGCTTACTAGATTGCATTATCATTTTCTGTTTAAGTCTTTCTCCTCTGCCAGTCCCATGGAGGGAGGGACAGATCTTATTTCTCACTGTAGCTCTAGTATCCAGCCAAGCAGTGGCTGCCTAGGACTCAAGTGTGTGCCGGACGACTAAGGACTAACTAAGCAAGTAAACAATGAATCGTTTTCTGTCTTTAGAAGTAGCCCGTCTTAGGATTTTGAACCATTAACTTACTCTGTCTGATTCATATAGAAAAATATCTGGAACCAGGACTAGAAAAAACTCAGCATTTCCCAGCAAAAGCGCTCGTTCTGGTTTTGTTTGCTATGGTTTGGTTTGGGCTGGAAGAGCTTTCAGTCTGTTTGTTCACAGGCTGAGGGGAAGTTGAAATAAACTGCAGAAACAAGAGAACACAGACCTGTTTCCCTAAGTGGAGGGTCAAGAGCACAGGGAGACATCTCATTCTCTAACCTTTAGGAAAGGAGGTGGGAAAAGGCTTGGGGGACAGATGAGCTTCTATAGAGATCTTGCCTAATAGCTTCCATTTTCTCTGTGAAGCACCAGGCGAGGGTGTTCGCTGAAATCAAGTGAGAGGCAGCAGTGAAGCAGGGAAACTAGGAAGAATGACGCATGTTTAAAATGGGAGAGAGGGATGCCGAAGGCCAAGAACAAAGTAGGGGATGAGTAGGAGTGACCCTACATCTTAAATCTCGGCCCCGGAGCGAATCCCTGGAGAGGGTCCTGCTGGTGTGACGGATGGAGGGGCAGATCGCTTTACAGTAGCAGCCCATGCCCGCGGCAGGGCCACACCAGGGTCCCGACCGTGGGGCTTGTACTTGGCTTTCCCAGGAAGGGGGCGGGGAGAGCTTGTTCTCTGCCTCTGCCAGCCTGAGAGTGAAGGGCACTGGGAGTGGCTGATTTTGAGTTCTGCATTAGGGACCTGGCCAGGCTGCCAGCACCATGACGTTGCTCCTGGCCACAGCGGCCACTAAGGTTTAGCAGGGTTGCAGGTCAGAGTCAGAGCCCAGGGCTGAGTTAAAAAAGACTAGGACTGAGCTTTCAGAGGTTAGAACTAATTCACACGTGAGACAAACTGGGTACGCGTGACTGTTACGACACTATTATGACCTGTCTGTAAGTCCTCTGCTTTGTCTGTGCAGCTTTTTTGCCTCCTTAGACTGTCCTCTGTGTATATTCCCTGCCGAGCCGCGGTAACCAAACCATTTCACACAGCGCCCTCTAGTGGCCCGAGGGCTTCACTGTCCCTTTCTTTTGAAAACGTGTGAGCACTACGCCTAGAGGAAGCGGAACTGGGTCCCCAAGCATAAGGGTGAAGAAAAGGGGCCAGCACTGGGACCTCAGGGAGATGCCTACCTAAAGTGATAGGTAAAGGCCAGCCTTCTTGTTACCTGAGAAAAAGTGCCACCCCTGCCAATCAGAAGCCCCATGCGTTTGCAGTCCTGGTGGATTTGATTTACTTCTTCACGGGGAAGAGGCTGGCGGCTCGTCTGCAAATACATTTTAAAAATATTTGGCATTTGAATGATTCAAGACATTATTTCTAAGAGGAATAAAATGCAACTCAAGCAATCAATGCTCTTCTCTCCCTCTCAACCTCTCTCCCCCAGTAATTGAATAAAGCTATTCATTGCTGAATTGGATTTCTTTCTGTGGGGGGTGTTATTGAAAATATCTGCTTTTATCCCAGTTCATCCCAAATTCCCAAAGACAAGATGAAGCTGACTATAGACCGTCAGTGAATCTTGGCTCTGCAGTTGGTTACCCTGGGAGCTTGGTTCTTTTTTTGTTTGTTTGTTTGTTTGTTTTTGCTGTACGCGGGCCTCTCACTGTTGTGGCCTCTCCCGTTGCGGAGCACAGGCTCCAGACGCGCAGGCTCAGCGGCCATGGCTCACGGGCCCAGCCGCTCCGCGGCATGTGGGATCTTCCCGGACCGGGGCACGAACCCGTGTCCCCTGCATCGGCAGACGGACTCTCAACCACTGTGCCATCAGGGAAGCCCGGGACCCGGGAGCTTGGTTCTTTAATAGCCGTATTTGGAGTTTGCTTTATTTATGTGGAAATTGTCCTCAGCTCTTCACTTTGTTTTGTCCATGTAAAAAATTCATTTCAAAGTCCAGGAAATGGCTGTGAAGTTGCACAAGGGCATAAACGGTCCAAGCTTTCTCTGGGCCATAGTATGGCCTGGGCAACTGGGGTGGGTCTGTTTGTCCTCATCTTCCCTGCTTGTGGAAGTTGCTCTTTCTCACCCAAGACTTAATCCTCCAGGGTCAGGAAAGGCAAGCTTTCTGGAGCTTAGAGGATGTTTCAGGTCACTTGGCATCTGAAGGTTGTCCCTTCCTGTGGGCCCAGGTATTCCAGTACCCTTTTGATGACACTGGGCTGGGGACTTCTGAGTCTGTGAGCACAAATGCTCCAACTTAGTCAAGTCCATTGTGAAGCTTTAAGATAAAGAAAATACTATTCAAACTTTCCCACTACTAGATAATGGAGGACCAAGATGGGGAAAAGACCAGCATTTCCTCATTGATCCTAAAATGTCATCCTGCTTGCCCCTAATGTTCTCATGAGGAAAGACTAAAACACGACAATATAATTTAAGGCTAAACTGTGAAAGCTGGAAAGAAGTCAAATATGGTTTGGGGGACGAGAGGTCAGAGGTCAGAAAGGGTTCCTCAGGGGCAGTTGGGTTGATGGGCCTTGGTGGCTATCAAGGGTCCGGAGAGGTGGACTTTGTTTGGCTTTAGCCTGGTCTGGGCCAGCACGCTCCCTGCTCCTTTGTGCATTTTATTACCCCCTGGGCTCAACTGCTATGACTAATTGAACATCTTGTAGGCATTCTGAAGAGAAAAGCACGGTCAGAAAAGCTAATGAGGCAAAGCCACAGGACAGCCTGCCCGGGCCCTGTGCTCGAGTCTAAGTCCCAATCACTCCATAATCAAATGGGCATGTTAGTAACTAACCTCTTCTCAGGGATGTAATGTAGCTTTGTGTTTATTTATTTATTTATTTATTGCCGTTTTTGAGGGATAAATCTTCATTTAAACAATTACAAAAGTAATGCAGGGTTATTGGGAAAAACTCCTGAAAGCGATATGCAAATGCACTAAGTAAAAATGAAACGTTTCCCCTTCTCCAATCCTACTCCTAGGGATACCGCCTGTTGGTAATTAGTGGGAACTAGACACTTTTTCTATGCATATACATACATTTAAATGCATATTTAAAAAAATGTCATACTTTATAATGTTCTGCGATTTGCTTTGAACAATTTACAATGTATCCCGAACATCTTTCCATGTGAGTGTATTTGGACCTAGTCTTCTTTTTTTAAAAATTTTATTTAGTTATTTTATTTCTTTTTGGCTGTGTCGGGTCTTAGTTGCAGCACTCAGGATCTTTCGTTAAGTCTCCCGGGCTCTTCCTTGTGGTGCACGACTTCTCTCTAGTTGTGGCTTGGGGGTTTTCTCTCTGTAGTTGTGGCGTGCAGGCTCCAGAGTGCATGTGCTCTGTAGTTTGCGGCACGCAGGCTCTCTAGTTGAGACGTGTGAGCTCGGTAGTTGTGGTGCACGGGCTTAGCTGCCCTGCAGCATGTGGGATCTTAGTTCCCTGACCAGGGATCAAACCTGTGTCCTCTGCATTATAAAGTGGATTCTTTACCATTGGATCACCAGGGAAGTCCCTGGACCTAGTCTTCTTAAAGATTACCTAGTATTTTGTTGTTTGTTGGTAGAGTAATTTGTTTAATCTCTTATTTTTGGACATTTATGTGATTTTCAATTTTTGTTTATGATCATAAGAAATGCTGCAAACATCCCCACTTATTTATATCTTTACACACTTCTGTGACTATTTCTTTAGGACACATCACTCTAAGTGGAATGGCTAGGTCAAAATGTATACATGTAAAATTTTGATAGATACAGACAAATTTCTGTCCAAAGGGCTGTATCCAATTCACATCCTTACTAACTGCTCGTGGGAGTTTTGATTCTGGGTTATACTGTATAGCATTAAAGCCAAGTTCTGAGCTGTTTTAATTACATGAATGTGGTCTGAAGTGTTGCAGGGGCCGGAAATCAATCAACAAACATGGATAAAGCACTCACCGTCTGTGTATTTCCTGGCCTCAAAAGTGTACAGTTTATTTAGGAAAAGAAGGTATTTATATGTGAAAACCGAGTCAACAAATACATGATTTGAAAGAGCCTTTCAAAGGAGCTCTTTAGACAGTGAGTGTGAGAGATTTCAATTTTTTCCGTAATACAGTTTGCACATCTTTCCATGTCACATGTATTTCTGTGCCATTGTAGTATGGACGTACCATCCTTTAGCTTGCTCTGTATCAATGGGATTCTGATGTTTTATCATGACAACTCAAGTTCTGAAGAGCATCTCTGTTCACACGTCTTGGAGTGCACAGAAGTTGGCTTCGGATTAGTGGGAAAGGGACGAACGCCTCCTCTTTCACTGGGCTTTCTTTGGTGGAGTCTGGGCTTTGAGGCATCTAGGCATCCTCGAGGGACCTCTTGTTGGGGGGAACAGGAATGGACTCTTCTGAGCCTTAAAACAGCCCTTGATGGAACCCCAGGCTGAAGGTATGTTACGGCCTGCGAGCCAGAGGGCCTAGTCTCATGTTACTCTTATTTTCCTGCTGTCTTCCCTTAGCTTTCAAATCTGGTTCAAACGATCCTGCTTTTCACTGGCTCTGCTGTGTGGTACTAATCGGAGAGTGTTATATCCATGGTCTAGTCTGAATATTGAGAGAACTGAACACAGTCCTTCTAGACTAGGGTGGTGTGATGAGAGCCAACAGCAAGAAGTCACCCACGGATAAGAATTAGGGTGAAGGGGCTGGTCTGACTATTGATTCCTGTGCCAAGATTCCCCTGCTGTCACTCCCCCCAGAGGATCTAGATTTTGCATTTATGGAGGATTGGGACAATTTCCTACTGACATAGACCCTAGGGGCAGCAGTAACAACAGAGGGAAAGATTTGAGAAACACGGCAAAGAAAGAATCAATAAAACTTGACGTTAGAACTAAGGAGAGGGAAGGGGTCACAGATTATCTTGTGGTTTTGAGGCTAGGGAATTGGGAGAACAGTGGAGGGTGAAAAACAGACACAGTGACCTTGCGAAGAATCACTGGCTTAAGGGCAATGCTAAGTTCAATTGTCATATCGAGTTTGAGGTCACCTTGCAGTAGGTCATCAGAAAGTCACATTTGCCCTTGTTACTTGGGAGATTGAAGTCCATTCACAAACAAACAAACAAACAAATACAAAACCCTATAAATCTTTAACATCCTCGCCCCAAACCAACACCACAACCTTCTCCTGGCCCTTCCCCCTTACTTCCGCTAGCTCTCTGTCCCCCTGCCCCTCCCCCAATAATTTCCTCCTTTCCTTATATTTCTAATTCAAAATATTCATTACCACTGCTCTTTGCCTAGTCTGGCAAGAATAACATCAACTCCCTTTTGCAAATGCTCTTCTGCACTCTAGGACTCTCGATGACCAGCTAGCCTGTCCTTCATACTCAACACTCCCGACTCATCTCTAATGAGCTTTGCTCAGTCTTGCTGTCCTTGTGTGCTCTATTCCTGAGAATGAATGAGCTTGTAGCTGAGGCTTCCTACTTTAACTCTTGCCGCCCCCCCCAGAAGCTGCAGAGAGAACAGCAGGTCACAACCTACCTTATCCTTCACCATCTCTATTCCTATCATGAGGCCTTTGCCTCGGACGTCTCCAACGATTTCAAATTCATCTCTCAGCTTAGCAAACTTCAGTAACATATAGGTGCCAACTTCCTGGCTGTTTTCTTGTAGATTTTCTTCTTTAATTACCTGTTGAGAGAAAGCCCAAATGACCTTGCATTAAAAAAGTTTTAAAACGGACTGAGAAACATGGAGAAATAAATGTATGTGAACCTCTTTACAAAAACTTGACCAGACAAATGGAACCCAAAGTCTAGTATGGCCATAACTTGTCCTACAAAAAGATCTGCTGTAGGGAGAAAAAAAATTCTTGGTAGAGGGGATGCTTCCCCCCTACCCTCCTCATCTTCAGGGTGGGTAAAAATTTAGGAAAAAATAAAAGAGACGTCTCAGTGTTGAGCTCTTTGTGGGCCCAGAGTCAGGGCACCTGAGATATATATTCAATAAAAGGATTTTCACCTACTTCCACCCACAGCAGAGACCTGTGATTCCTGACCAAACACAAGCAGTATACTACACTTATAACCAGCTGATAATAACTGCATGACTCCAGGCAGAACCTGATGTTTTTAAGACCTACTTGTTCACCTAAATCCTCTCTATCTGCTAAATTGGTTGAGGCGACACCGGACTTAAAAAATGTAAGCTGGCAATGTCTACAGAATGAAATAAATGACACATCCTACTTACACTTTCTCATTTTGAGATTTAATCATATTTGAAGATACTTTTTAATTTGCAAGGGCAGCTTTTACTTACTTATTTTTATTGAAAAATGTTTTAAATTTAATTTTTTTGAATAAATGAATCACGTGCCTCGTTCAAACATCAGAAAGTACAGAAACATAGAGTAGAATGAGCCTCACTGATCCCTGTTCCCCAGCCACCACGTTTCCTTCTCCACAAAAAACCATTGTTATTAATTTCTTGGACATTCTTCCAGAAATACATTACACTTTTAAGCAAACGCTATTATGCATATAAGCAAGGGCATTTAAAAAAATCTTTTCAACAGATGAGACCCCAGGCAAAATCAATGGCCTGGAGCTGAACCACAGCTGAATCACCTTGTTGGAATTGCATAGAACTCACTTGCTCTTTCCTCTTTTAATTTATGACAGTACAACAAAAATAAGGAAGCATATATAAGACAGGACCAAAATTAAACTGAAATCAAGGATAGCCATTGGTAAATATCCATAAAATACCGCTCAAATGACAAAGAAATTTCAGTGCTACCAGCTAGCTAGGGAAATTCTTATATTTCCCATGTGTGTGAGGTTTATTACATATTATTTCATATCCAATACTTGAAGCACTCACAGTAGATCTTAAAAAGGGGGAGGGGCAGAATAATAACTGGAAATCTAACTTAAATTCATGGACTAGGAATTAACTCTTCACTTTAATCATGAAATGTGATAGAGTTCTGATAATGTGTGTGTAGTTTTGAGGTAGTCGTTTGGTGAAATGAGTGATGTTGATGCGGTTGCTGGAAAGTACCTCAAGCACCGATGATCCAATGGCGCAGGCCATGGGGTTCCCTCCGAAGGTATTGAAGTGAAGCAGGCGTTTAGCCAAAGACTTGGCAATCTCTGGAGGGGGTGGAGAATAAAAGTGGATAAACGGTGACACATTCCTATCTATAATCTCCCATCATGCATTTGGATTATATTTACCTTCATGTTGTATATGTACGTGTAATATATTTCATGGTGTCCAATTCATTCTTCACTCACCAGATAGTGGATGTTATGGTTGGAATTGTGTCTCTTCCCTCCCCCACCCCAATTCATACGTTGAAGCCCTAACCCGCAATGTGACTGTAATTGAAGGTAGGGCCTTTAAGGAGGTAATTCAGGTCATAAGGGTGGGGCCCTAATCCAATAGGATTGGTATTCTCCTAAGAAGAAGAGACATCAGAGCCCTTTCTAGCTGTGGAAAAGGACATGTGAGGACACAGTAAGAAGGTGTTCATCTGCAAGAGAGATCTCACCCAAAACCAACTCTGCTCATACCTTGATCTTGGATTTCAGCCTCTAGACCTGTGAGAGAATAAGCCCAAGCTGACTAATACGGTGGATAAGGAAAAATTGCTTATTTATTCAATGAGAAGTTTAATAATAAAAATCTTTAATGTGTTGTATGAATTGAAAAGTACTTTAAAACTTGATTTATGGGAACTTACATGGAACCTTCATTAGCTAAGCCTTTTTTCTATATTCCACTCTTGGGACTAAGAAGGAAATATTTTTTAAAAAATCTCATATCAAGGATTTCATAATATAATTTCAAGATTGTTTCAGGGTTAGTATATATTCAGTTCATTATACTTCACATTCTACATCCACATTTTAGTAACTTTTTTCATTCAATAAAAACACTGAGGGATTCCCTGGTGGCACAGTGGTTGAGAGTCCGCCTGCTGATGCAGGGGACATGGGTTTGTGCCCTGGTCCGGGAAGATCCCACATGCCGCGGAGCGGCTGGGCCCGTGAGCCATGGCCGCTGAGCCTGCACGTCCGGAGCCTGTGCTCCGCAACGGGAGAGGCCCCAACAGTGAGAGGCCTGCGTACCGCAAAAAAAAAAAACAAAAAAAAAAACCACTGAGCTCTTACAAGGCACTTAATTATACCTTGGAGCCTCTCAAGTATGCTTACTATTGGTTGGAAAAACAAATGAAATAATTTTAAGATTTTCAACACTAAATGGTTCATAAAATTCTTTTCTGTAAAACCTCACTAAAATGGGAAATACAGCTAATTCTAATGTTCATTTTATAGAATGTTATAGCAAAGTGAGATTGTATTGTCTTTAGCTGTTTTGCTGATGATCAACAGAGAAAACTATCACCTGGACCTTGAGTCTATAGCTTATTGGTGTGGCAAGACTAGGTCAGGGTGTCCTTCAAGAATATGATTCCCTTGGAAACTTCAGCACTGGCTTCAGGTTGTTTAGCAAGGATCTCTTGTGTTGGTTTTGTTTTTGTGGCACGTTTGCCTAGACGTTGTCAGTAGAGTAGAATCCTGCATTTCATTGTGGGTCTGGGAGAATTAGTCTTCTCTACAGCAAGAGCAAAAAGGGCTGGTTTTCTTCCATCTCTTCCACCATCTGGCAGACAGTTTCCTTTTTTCATTGCTTGGGAATCCCATCACTGTCTCTAGCCCACACAAGTTCCCATACACATGTTTTCTGCCATTACTGATGCAGGAGGCCCAGAAGCAGACACAAATTGCCTGTAGTTCCTACCTGGAGTTGTCACAACTGCTGCCATGGGAAAACCATTCCCAATCCCTTTAGCCATGGTGACAATATCCGGCAGGACACCGTGCGTTTGGAAGCCCCAGAAGTGAGAACCCAACCTTCCAAATCCTGTCTGCACCTGTGAAAACAAGTCCCAAATCATTGGAAAGCTTTCAAAGAAATGTTGGTTTTTCTTGACTCTCTGGTCTCTTCTCTTTCCTCCTCTTCCATCTCCTCCTTCCTAACATCATCATCATCATCAGTCATCGTCATCACCATCCTCATACTATTATGGAGAAAGCACTTATTCTGCACCTGACCTTTTATTTTTATTTTTTTAACATCTTTATTGGGGTATAATTGCTTTACAATGGTGTGTTAGTTTCTGCTTTATAACAAAGTGAATCAGTTATACATATACATATGTTCCCATATCTCTTCCCTCTTGCGTCTCCCTCCCTCCCACCCTCCCTATCCCACCCCTCCAGGCTGCACCTGACCTTTTAGGCACCAAAAGCCGGTTACTAGCATTGTGTGCTTCTAGACATGGTTTTTAACTCCTCTGAATCCATGTTAACTCTGTTGAGTGGAAACAATAGCAATACATCACAGGGCTGCTGTGAGGGTCATATACATAATGCATGTGAAAAAGGTGATTGTGATTAGCAATCCTTGATAAGGATCTCCTATGTGTAAGGCTGCGTCTGCCCCCGGCTGGATGAAGCAGGAGTTACAGTAAGCAAATTGGTGCTGGGGTGCCCACCACCCAGCCCAGACAGGCTGGTTGTCCTCTTCCCTGTGATTTCTTTTTCCTCCTGGGAATTAGTCATGAGGAGGATCCAGCTGAGTCAGTTAAGTCAGGATGGAGCTAAATTGAACTTAGTTGTTTTGTGCATGCTGTTTCCTCTTTCTAGAAAGCCCTCTCCCCGCTTCTTCATCTCACTAACTCCTCTTCTCTTTCAAGACACAGTTTCATCATTATTCGGCATAGGAAGATTCTCCTGAGCTGCACTAGGGTCCCCACTCAAGGCACCTAAGCTGCCGTCAGAACCTCTCACCTTGGACTACTATCACCAGCATACATGTATCTTATTTTTCTCTTTATCCACAATACCTAGCAGAGTGCCTGATAAAAGTAGACACTTAGGGGCTTCCCTGGTGGCGCAGTGGTTGAGAATCTGCCTGCTAATGCAGGGGACACGGGTTCAAGCCCTGGTCTGGGAGGATCCCACATGCCGCGGAGCAACTAGGCCCGTGAGCCACAACTACTGAGCCTGCGCGTCTGGAGCCTGTGCTCTGCAACAAGAGAGGCCGCGATTGTGAGAGGCCCGCGCACCGTGATGAAGAGTGGCCCCCACTTGCCACAACTAGAGAAAGCCCTCGCACAGAAACGACGATGCAACACAGCAAAAATAAATAAATAAATTAAAGTCTTAAAAAAAAATTAAAAAAAAAAAAAGTAGACACTTAGTGTTTGTAGAATGGATAAAAAAGTGGCGGAAGTGCCTAAGTGAATAAAGCCACACAAACATTTCTATGCAAATTTTCGCCAGAGCCTTTTTGGTGAAGGTTCCTTGATCTCCTTCTGGTTCTCAGTCTCCTGGGCTGTCTGTCTATCTCTCTCTCTACACATACACACATTGCAGGTCTGGGGTAGAGGTGTGGGCAATTGAAGCTGATTCTGAAATGCACTTGAAAGAGCAAGGGTCCTTCTCAGGCTTCCTGATTATTTTCTTGCTCTCTCCAGGGTGCCGCTGCAAAGGCAGATGTTGGGGGTTACAATTAGACGAGAGTGAACAACGTAGGAGAAGAGCTCAGACATGGGAGTCAGACAGACGTGGGCTCGAATCCTGGGTCTCCGACTTCCTAGTTACGGGCCTCTGGACAAGCTGATGAATTTGCCCAAATGAGATAACATAGGAAGAGTTCATGGCAAATCCATCCATTTTGCCTTTCTGCCTATCTTAATTTTTCACTTCATCTATCAAAGTACCATCAGTGAATGGTGAAAGATCAGACTGCTTGGACAACACGTGAAATTATGTAGGACCATAAACCGTGTTTAGCCACCTAAGAAGTATCAGGTCCACAGAATCTTTTAGTTGAACAGAGATGATTCATTTTTTTTTTTTTTTTTTTGGCTGTACGCGGGCCTCTCACTGTTGTGGCCTCTCCCGTTGCGGAGCACAGGCTCCGGATGCGCAGGCTCAGCGGCCATGGCTCATGGGTCCAGCCGCTCCACGGCATGTGGGATCTCCCTGGACTGGGGCACGAGCCCGCGTCCCCTGCATCGGCAGGCGGACTCTCAACCACTGCGCCACCAGGGAAGCCCACATGTGTCTTTTTGAATTATGTTTTTCTCTGGGTATATGTCCAGTAGTGGGATTTCTGGATCATGTGGTAATTCTATTTTCAGTTTTTTAAGGAAGCTCCATACTCTTCTCCATAGTGGCTGTATCAATTTACATTCCCACCAACAGTGCAAGAGGGGTCCCTTTTCTCCACACCCTCTCCAGCATTTGTTGTTTGTAGATTTTCTGATGATGCCCATTCTAACTGGTGTGAGGTGATACCTCACTGTAGTTTTGATTTGCATTTCTCTAATAATTAGTGATGTTGAGCAGCTTTTCATGTGCTTCTTGGCCATCTGTATGTCTTCTTTGGAGAAATGTCTGTTTAGGTCTTCTGCCCATTTTTGGATTGGGTTGTTTGTTTTTTTTTTGATAATGAGCTGTCTATATATTTTGGAGATTAATCCTTTGCCCATTGATTCATTTGCAAATATTTTCTCCCATTCTGAGGGTTGTCTTTTCACCTTGTTTATGGTTTCCTTTGCTGTGCAAAAGCTTTGAAGTTTCATTAGGCCCCGTTTGTTTACTTCTGTTTTTATTTCCATTACTCTAGGAGGTGAATCAAAAAAGATCTTGCTGTGATTTATGTCAAAGAGTGTTCTTCCTATGTTTTCCTCTAAGAGTTTTATAGTGTCCAGTCTTACATTTAGGTCTGTAATCCATTTTGAGTTTATTTTTGTGTATGGCATTAGGGAGTGTTCTAATTTCATTCTTTTACATGTAGCTGACCAGCTTTCCCAGCACCACTTATTGAAGAGACTGTCTTTTCTCCATTTTATATCCTTGCCTCCTTTGTCATAGATTAGTTGACCATAGGTGCGTGGGTTCATCTCTGGGCTTTCTATCTTGTTCCATTGATGTATGTTTCTGTTTTTGTGCCAGTACGTATTGTCTTGATTACTGTAGCTTTATAGTATAGTCTGAAGTCAGGGAGTCTGATTCCTCCAGCTCTGTTTTTTTCCCTCAAGCCTGCTTTGGCTATTCAGGGTCTTTTGTGTCTCCATACAAATTTTAAGATTTTTTGTTCTACTTCCGTAAAAAATGCCATTGGTAATTTCTTAGGGATTGCATTGAATCTGTAGATTGCTTTGGGTAGTATAGTGATTTTCGCAATTGATTCTTCCAATCCAAGAACATGGTATATCTCTCCATCTGTTGGCATCATCTTTAATTTCTTTCATCAGTGTCTTATAGTTTTCTGTATACAGGTCTTTTGTCTCCCTAGGTAGGTTTATTCTTAGGTATTTTATTCTTTTTTGCAATGGTAAATGGGAGTGTTTCCTTACTTTCTCTTTCAGAATTTTCATCATTAGTGTATAGGACTGCAAGAGATTTCTGTGCATTAATTTTGTATCCTGCTACTTTACCAAATGCATTGATTAGCTCTAGTAGTTTTCTGGTGGCATCTTTAGGATTCTCTATGTATAGTATCGTGTCATCTCCAAACAGTGACAGTTTTACTTCTTCTTTTCCAATTTGTATTCCTTTTATTTCTTTTTCTTTTCTGATTGCCATGGCTAGGACTTCCAAAACTATGTTGAATAATAGTGGTGAGAGTGGACAACCTTGTCTTGTTCCTGATCTTAGAGGAAATGGATTCTGTTTTTCACCATTGAGAATGATGTTTGCTGTGGGTTTGTCATATATGGCCTTAATTATGTTGAGGTAGGTTCCCTCTGTGCCCACTTTCTGGAGAGTTTTTATCATAAATGGGTGTTGAATGCTGTCAAAAGATTTTTCTGCATCTATTGAGGTGATCATATGGTTTTTCTTCTTCAATTTGTTAATATGGTGTATCACATTGATTGAGTTGTGTATATTGAAGAATCCTTGCATCACTGGGATAAATCCCACTGGATCATGGTGTATGATTCTTTTCATGTGTTGTTGGATTCTGTTTGTTAGTATTTTGTTGAGGATTTTTGCATCTATATTCATCAGTGATATTGGTCTGTAATTTTCTTTTTTTGTAGTATCTCTGTCTGGTTTTGGTATCAGGGTGATGATGGCCTCATAGAATGAGTTTGGGAGTGTTCCTTCCTCTGCAAATTTTTGGAAGAGTTTGAGAAGGACAGGTGTTAGCTCTTCTCTAAATGTTTGATAGAATTCACCTGTGAATCCATCTGGTCCTGGACTTTTGTTTGTTGGAAGATTTTTAATCACAGTTTCAATTTCATTACTTTTGATTGGTCTGCTCATATTTTCTATTTCTTCCTGGTTCAGTCTTGGAAGGTTATACCTTTCTAAGAATTTGTCCATTTCTTCCAGGTTGTCCATTTTATTGGCATAGAGTTGCTTACAGTAGTCTCTTAGGATGCTTTGTATTTCTGCCGTGTCTGTTGTAACTTCTCCGTTTTCATTTCTAATTTTATTGATTTGATTCCTCTCCCTCTTTTTCTTGATGAGTCTGGCTAATGGCTTATCAATTTTTTTTATCTTCTCAAAGAACCAGCTTTTAGTTTTATTTATCTTTGCTATTGTTTTCTTTGTTTCTATTTCATTTATTTCTGCTCTGCTCTTTATGATTTCTTTCCTTTTGCTAACTATGGGTGTTGTTTGTTCTTCTTTCTCTAGTTCCTTTAGGTGTAAGGTTAGATTGTTTATTTGAGTTGTTTCTTATTTCTTGTGGTAGGCTTGTATAGCTATAAACTTCCTTTTTAGAACTGCTTTTGCTGCATCCCATAGGTTTTGGATTGTCGTGTTTTCATTGTCATTTGTCTCTAGGTATTTTTTGATTTCCTGTTTGATTTCTTCAGTGATCTCTTGGTTATTTAGTAACGTATTGTTTAGCCTCCATGTGTTTGTGTTTTTTACATTTTTTCCCGCTGTAATTCATTTCTAATCTCATAGGGCTGTGGTCAGAAAAGATGCTTGATATGATTTCAATTTTCTTAAATTTACTGAGGCTTGATTTATGATTCAAGATGTGATCTATCCTGGAGAATGTTCCGTGCCCACTTGAGAAGAAAGAGTAATCTGCTGTTTTTGGATGTAATGTCCTATAAATATGAATTAAATCTATCTGGTCTATTGTGTCATTTAAAGCTTGTGTTTCCTTATTTATTTTCATTTTGGATGATCTGTCCATTGGTGTACATGAGATGTTAAAGTCCCCCACTATTATTGTGTTACTGTAAATTTCCTCTTTTATAGCTGTTAGCAGTTGTCTTATGTATTGAGGTGCTCCTTTGTTGGGTGCATATATATTTATAATTGTCATATCTTTTTCGTGGATTGATCCCTTGATCATTATGTAGTGGCCTTCCTTGTCTCTTGGAACACTGTTTATTTTAAAGTCTATTTTATCTGATATGAGTATTGCTATTCCAGCTTTCTTTTGATTTCCATTTGCATGGAATATCTTTTTCCATCTCCTCACTTTCAGTCTGTATGTGTCCCTAGGTCTGAAGTGGGTCTCTTGTAGACAGTGTATATATGGGTCTTGTATTTGTATCCATTCAGCAAGCCTGTGTCTTTTGGTTGGAGCATTTAATCCATTCACGTTTAAGGTAATTATCGATATGTATGTTCCTATGACCATTTTCTTAATTGTTTTGGGTTTGTTTTTGTAGGTCCTTTTCTTCTCTTGTGTTTCCCACTTAGAGAAGTTCCTTTAGCATTTGTTGTAGAGCTGGTTTGGTGCTGCTGAATTCTCTTAGCTTTTGTTTGTCTGTAAAGCTTTTGATTTCTCCATTGAATCTGAATGAGATCCTTGCCAGGTAGAGTAATCTTGGTTGTAGGTTCTTCCCTTTCATCACTTTAAGTCTATCATGCCACTCCCTTCTGGCTTGTAGAGTTTCTGCTGAGAAATCAGCTGTTAACCTTATGGGAGTTCCCTTGTATATTATTTGTCATTTTTCCCTTGCTGCTTTCAATAATTTTTCTTTGTCTTTAATTTTTGCCAATTTGATTACTATGTGTCTCGGTGTGTTTCTCCTTGGGTTCATCCTGTATGGGACTCACTGCGCTTCCTGGACTTGGGTGGCTGTTTCCTTTCCCATGTTAGGGAAGTTTTTGACTGTAATCTCTTCAAATATTTTCTCTGGTCCTTTCTCTCTCTCTTCTCCTTCTGGGACACCTATAATGCAAATGTTGTTGCATTTAATGTTGTCCCAGAGGTCTCTTAGGCTGTCATCATTTCTTTTCATTCTTTTTTCTTTAGTTTGTTCTGCAGCAGTGAATTCCACCATTCTGTCTTCCAGGTCACTTATCCGTTCTTCTGCCTCAGTTATTCTACTGTTGATTCCTTCTAGTGTAGTTTTCATTTCAGTTATTGTATTGTTCATCTCTGTTTGTTTGTTCTTTAATTCTTCTAGGTCTTTTAAAGACATTTCTTGCATCTTCTCGATCTTTGCCTCCATTCTTTTTCTGAGGTCCTGGATCATCTTCACTATCATTATTCTGAATTCTTTTTCTGGAAGGTTGCCTATCTCCACTTCATTTAATTGTTTTTCTGGGGTTTTATCTTGTTCCTTCATCTGGTGCATAGCTCTCTGCCTTTTCATCTTGTCTATCGTTCTATGAATGTGGTTTTTGTTCCATAGGCTGCAGGATTGTAGTTCTTCTTGCTTCTGCTGTCTGCCCTTTGGTGGATGAGTCTATCTACTCTTCTGTCATTCTTGAGAGGCAGGTTTACCCAGTGGTTAGTGTGGTCTTGGCTTAGTGTGGTTTGAATTCTGGCTCTGTCCCTACTAACTGCATGATCTCAACAGGCAAATTAACCATCTTGGACTTCAATTCACTCATCTGTAAAATGGGCATAATTACAACTGGGCACTCCTTACAGAACCATGATGAATATTAACTTAGTTGTTACATACAAAGCATTATGAACAGTGCCTGACACTTAGTAAGTGCTCAGAAAGTTCTAGCTATTATCTTTACCTACTCATTAGGACAGTCCTTCTGAAGGTCACCCTGTGTTAGTTTCCAATTAGGTTTTTGAAAATGATAAAAACATATACCGTAGGAAATTCTGAAATCCACTAGTTTCTTTGAATTCAATCTACCTTCCCGCTAATTAATCCAATGGTGGCAGCTTCACTGTGGCTGATTCCAAAGGTTAAAGCTTATTCTCTTCACTAGTGTAGCTAATTATAAACTGACTGAATAGACTTTTCTTCTTTTAATAGCAGATTAACTTTCTTCAGGACTTTGGTTCACTTCCCCTAAACTTGTACGGGCAGGATGGGAAAGGGAGGATGGACACAACAGGAGGAGCTGGCCCACGCTTCTCTGTGCAATGCCCGGGGGTCGTCCAGTTCATCTGGGGATCACAGAGACCTGGCTGCACGGGAGGAAACTGCAAAAGAATTCTGCTGAGGGGGCAGCCCATTGTCTCCTATAGGGGATGTTTTAGTTGAAGAAAACTGTTTAGGCAAAGATGGCAAGACTGAAACAGGTATGAATCATTCAAGTTCTCCACCTGTTTTTTGTGGTCTAACCACTTGTTAGAATCAGGACCCAGAAATGATTCAGGAGCACTTTGGAGGCTGTGGCGACTACCCTCTGGTCTTTTGATCTCCATTGCTATTCTCAGGAGGCAGAAGACCAGATACACTCCAATAAGGGGTGTGATTATAATGTAAATTGATCCCTTTAGGAAAGACACAGGCTAGAGCTCACAGAGCCCATGGATTTTATTCCCTTAAAGTGTCCCCTTAGAGATACTGTATGATTATTGCAACAATGTTGCCATACTATTTTAGAATTTACTTTTTGGAACTACTTAAAAATTTTTTTTAAATTTTTTTGGCCATGCAGCATGGCATGTGGGATTTTAGTTCCCAGACCAGGGATTGAACCCATGACCCTTCAATGGAAGCGTGGAGTCCCAACTACTGGACCACCAGGGAAGTCCCTGGAACTACTCTTTGAATATCTATGATGGTGGCCCTCTTCTAACTTAGAGGTGGGACCTTTTCTTTTTAAGTATGATTTCCAAACAAATTTTGTTATTAAGGTAAGATGAATGCTTCCAGACTGGTTAATACTATTTTGACAAAAATTAAGATGAAAACTTGGTTATGAGATTAAACTAAGGTTAAGCTGCTCCTGACATGTACTCCCCAAAAGGAATTTTAAAAGTATGTTGAGGAATGGCAGCATCACCTATGCCTGTTAACAATTTATTTGATAGACTTCAATTTGGATGTTTAAGTTCTGTTGTACTTGATTAAATGGACAAACTAATCCAATAACGAACTAACCAGTCAACTAGCCAAAGCTTCATTAACTTATAGCCAAGTCTTGGAATCCCCAGAGTGGTTGCTTTCTGCCTGGACCACAGAGGAGGGTTTAAAGAAGTTTCTCCTTGTGCTTTTCCTGTCCCGGCTGCACTGAATCGCACGTATTCCAGACCACTCACTTCATCTGTGATGCACACGCCTCCCCGCTCACGAACCAGCTCGAAGGCTTCCTTTAGAAACCCCTTTGGGTACTGGACAACGCCATTCACCCCCTGCAAAAGACCAAACCAAGAAGACTTAGAGTAACAGCACAGCCCTTGAAATACTAAAAGAGAATTGAAGATGGATTATGATCAATATTAGCGTTAGTGATACTAGCAATTTTTAAAACAGTCTCTAGAACTGTTTCAACTATGGGTGAAGAGGGGCCATTACTCTTATGCCATGCCTGCTGAAAAAGGATGCAAACATATTCTTTCCTGAGAGTAGAGGAAAAGTAGATTAGGGGATTTAGTAAGATTATAGAAAGGCTCCCCCGACAGTGTGGGTGATAAAGAACTAAAAATTGCTGGGGTTGTCTATTTTTACAGATTTAGGGATTCAATAGTTTCATCTATCTCTCTGTTCAGTTTGGGAGTGCAGGAGATGGTTTTTTCAAAGGTCAACTGAAAACCAGCACCCCCTCATCTTTTTTTTAAGGGGACCAATGGAATGAATGAAGTTTGGAGAGGGACATAGCAGTGGTCACTTAAATAATTTGGAATTCTCTAGAATGTATGAGTTAAAAATCTGATAATTTAGAACTGAGCTCAATTAATGTTTGGTTAATACACTCACTTGAATCGGCTCTGCAAAAAATCCAGCAATTGATTTGGCCACAGAAGTGTTCAGAGTATCTTTGAATTGTTCAATATACTGGTCTTTAGCTTGGCAGCAGTCTGCAACAAACAAACAACAACAACAGAAAACACAGCATTTGAAGATGTGAGAATGGCATCCAGAAGAATGGGGAGGAAACAGGAAAAAAGAAAACAGGACAGTAAATTGAATAGAGTCCCTCAAGATACAGTAAACCAGGATATGAGGATATAGGTTTCTGAATGTTCTGAACATTCTGTCAGAATGACTCATACTTTGTTTCAAGCAGCTAGACTAGCATAGCCACAAAAGCATAAGCAAACCACTTCAGTTGTTTCCACTTGGAGAAGTAACGCTCCAAAGCATCATTGAGTCTGGTATCGATAGCTGTGTTATCTAAGGATACTGATCCTCTCAACAGTGTAGATTTAATTCAAATGTAATTGCTGTGTGGATTTAATCTATTTGGAAATAACCATGTTTACCTTTCATTGCTACTTAATCTGATGTGCAATTTTAAAGCGACAAAGTATCTCAGTCTTTATCGTTAATAAATATGTTTATATAGCAATCAGAATTCAGTCTAAGGAGGAACGTACTACAGTCAGATAACTTTCATCCCTTATAGCAAGGCAGAGGAAGCTTTCTCCTCTGGAATACCAAAGGTCCAAGATCAAGTACATCCATATATGACTGAACCTTCAGAAGTTTTATCCACACCTGTAATTTGGTTCTAAACAGCATCACATAGTCTCTGAATCTAAACCCACATCCACGGATAGCAGAAGAGATGCAGAGAGAGAGCTGGGTGTGATGGGGGGTTTCTGCTGAAAGCAGTCTGGGAGGCAAGTCACCATCTACCATCATGATGCTTAGAGGCATGGCTGCGATCCTGTCTACTGAAGGCTAGAGATAAGGAATGGAAACCTTCAGTTATCGTCTTCAAAAGTGAACCATAAATATATTTTATATTGAATACTTCAGCTCTTCATTAAAAGTGGGAAAAACATGACCTGGCCCCAAACATACTTTGAGGCTACATGCGATGTTTGGGAAAGCTTGCTTGACAGAGTTACCTGATCTTTAGTTAGTTGGAGTTGAGGGTTGGGGGTTTGAAAAAGGAAGTAATGACATGAATAGCAAACCCAGAAAGTACACTTTTTAGCATCACTTATGTTGTATGATGGGTAGGATATAGTAGACAAATAAATCTGTGCCCCTAGAGGTTGAAATTTCCTATTATTATTAGGAAAGGAAGAGAAAACAACCTAGGATGGCCCTAAAGGGTGAATTAGATATGTGTTCAAAGGCTATAATTTGGGAATTTAGTAAGATCATTTGTAACTAGAGAAATCAAAGGGTGGAGCAAAATCAACCCTAATGGCTTAAATTTGGACAAAACCAAACCATGGAGAAGGTTTTGCTTGAAACTGCACTAGACCTTTCATAATTTTCCCCCCCACTGCCCATAAATTCAGTGATGAGAGGTCATCAACTGTCATTGGCTTTTTCCTTCATTTCACATTTACTTCATTGGCTCGTTGCTGTGGCTTCAGTTCAGGTCACCTCTGGAGAAAGACTTGGTGCAGTAGTGTCACCATGACAACATCAAGCGAGTGGAGAGAGGATGCTCTCCTGTATGCTATCCAGGCAACGGAGTAGAGAGGGAAGAGTTTTCATTTTAGCTGGTGGTAAAGAGAGAGTTAAGCAGAGTGAGACGCCAAGAAAGAACATTTTTTTTTAAGAAAAAGGAAACTTGTCTTGCAAAAGGAGAAAGAGAAATGACATGATCAGTACTAGGTTTGGAACATTTTGGGGTAGTGGGTTGAGAGGTGCTTTTCATCACAAGTTACATCTGAAATTCAGGGACTGGAATGACCAGTGGAAAAGAAAAAATCCTGAGGAGGAGGTGGAGGAAGGGAATGAAATCTACCACAAATATCTATATTAGGCTCAAAAATGGGTGATGACATACTTTTGAGGTGAAAGAAAAGCCCCCAACCAAGACTGGCACCTGGGTGTGCCCACTGAATGAACTCTAAGAGGAATGGAGAACTGGAACCTTCTATACTCAGAATAATTCACACTTTGGGATGCATTTATAAACATACATGAATATGCCTTTTTACAGCAAATACCAAACTCTTCTCAGGCCCTAACAGCACCAGAGGAGGCTGAAGTCCCTTTTTCTTTGCGATACGTGGGCCTCTCACTGTTGTGGCCTCTCCCGTTGCGGAGCACAGGCTCCGGACGTGCAGGCTCAGTGGCCATGGCTCACGGGCCCAGCCACTCCGCAGCATGTGGGATCTTCCCGGACCGGGGCACGAACCTGCGGCCCCCGCATCAGCAGGCGGACTCCCAACCACTGCGCCACCAGGGAAGCCCCTGAAGTCCCTTTTTGTATAAGGATATGATATCAGTCTTGTCTCTTGAAGATATGCGTTAAGAAAACAGCTGACTTCAGACGTGCCAAAGATCACAGTTCCGAGAAGCAGAAATGTCTGCCTGTCACTATCATTTAACCTCTAGAGGCCACTAGAGAGATGACCCTGGGGCTCTGGTATATTCCAGTTGGCCTGAGGGAGAGAAGGCCTCAGAGAGGGAGGGACACAGAGCTGGGAGGGAAGGAAGTAGTGACCATGTCTTGAGGGCTTCTGCCGCTGAAGCTCTGCGCTGGTGCTTTTGACGTCTGTGAGGTTCATCCAACTGATCTTAGTCGTTGGTGCCACGTGGATATGAGATACAGTCATGACTGTACTTGGCATCACTACTGTCTGCCTGCCTCTACAAAAGCTCTCTTCCTTGGTCTCTTGAAGGCCTGGGATGAGGGGCCATGGGAGCAGGTATTGCTGCCTCCATTTCATAGATGAGAAACGGAGGCAAAAGATGGAACTTTTGCTTGTAGCTGAGCCACGGTAGGGCTAACAGTCCAACCCAGGGCTCCTGACTTATGTGTCTCTTCAATCCTGGCCAGCAGAGCAGGAATTATTTTTAAGCCTGGGTTCCTCCTGCTGGCATATGGGTGTGAACAAGGGTGGTCATGGCTGGGGAGTACTGGCTTTGAGGGCAGAAGAATTGGAGTCAAGTCCTAGATCTCGGCCTCCTAGGTGTGGATGTGTTTCTCCATCTTTAAAATGGAGAGTGTGAAAGATAGCTTTAAACTTCCCTATGGTTTTAAGTTCTGTGACTATAACATCTTGTTCTAAAGCTCATTCTTTCATCCTCCTACGTCCATATTGCCATTATCCCATCTGAATTTTAAGATGACTGTGAATTTTCTTCCTTTCGAAGCTGATTTTTAAGGCTTCCATTTGCATTCTTCCGCTCAGCCCAGTGACACCCTGTTCCATTAAAGATCTCTCGGTTGGAGCGTTTAGTGATTTCCTTCAGCGCTGCTTAGGGGCAGCTGTCCAAAGGGTCCTGCACTGGGATGACAAGTGCGAGGTGGGCCTTGCTGATGAGCAAAGAACAGATGCTGACGCCTTTACAACTTTTGAAGAGATGTCAGCAGCCTTTAGGAATGGTCTTCTGGTTTTTTTTTTTTGTTTTTTTTTTTTTGCGGTACGCAGGCCTCTCACTGTTGTGGCCTCTCCCGTTGCAGAGCACAGGCTCCGGACGTGCAGGCTCAGCAGCCATGGCTCACGGGCCCAGCCGCTCGGCGGCATGTGGGATCTTCCCGGACCAGGGCACGAACCCGTGTCTCCTGCATCGGCAGGCGGACTCTCAACCACTGCGCCACCAGGGAAGCCCTGGTCTTCTGATTTGACAAAGGCTCTCATTTTGGCTGTACTCTGAGTCCCTGGGGAACTTCCTCATTGGAGTTTTGAGATTTCTAAGTGTTCTTTCCCCTTTCCCCTTCTCCCATTGGGAATTGGCAAATAATCCCTCAAAAAAACCCTTGTTTTCTTTTGAAATTGGTAGCAGAGCTATTGCTGGGAGAGCTAAGAGAGCGCCTTTAGTGAAGCAGCAGGTGACAGTCTGTTTTTGGCTTAGCTCTGACAGCATGAGATGCTGAGATGAGTTTCCTAACAGGAGATGGATGCTCTGATGGTATAGTGGTCATTGGCATAAGAGGTGTTAGTTCAGTGAGGGGTGATTTCCTAGTTGGATTTGCCTTGGCTTTCCCTTTCCCACTTTTTTGAATCTGTTCACCCAGGAATGGTTCTGCCTCTCTCCACATTCCTTACCCCTCCTGACCTTCCACCATGTGCCTCCCTCCCTGCCCAGCTGGACCTGGTGCACAGCTGCATTTCCTAATTGTTTGCACTCGAGAATCTCGGCAGTGGCTTCCTCCCCAAGGGCCACGGAAAACATCCGGGCACATCGTCTGCAAATGACAAAAGAGGGAGTTTAGCAAGACGTGAACACAAGACAGCCAATTTGGGGCAACCTATGGTGCCAGTTAAGGCAAGAGGGCTTCTTAATTTGATACTAAGATTCCTCCTTTACTCTTCTCCCACTTAGAACAAAAACCTAATATTCTGCTTTGAAGAGATAATTTTTTTTCTTGGCAATCAATTATGAGGGCACTCTACAAAGCAAACTGATTTCAATGTCAGCCTGGAAACAATTTGCTCAAGAGTTTGGTCGGTAAGGGCATCTGAAAGAATAAGAATAATTAGGTATCTGATTCTGATGCTGAAAATGTGGAAACAGTGAGTGAGAACAGAAGGTGAGTACAGGGATGACTCTATGGAAATTTTATGCATTCAAGGCTCTGGGAAGTTATTTCAGTGCATTTATTTGCAGTTGACTTGATTTTATTTAAAAGCAAAAGAAAACTAAAAAAATCTCTGTCATTAATTATTACTCACACTCTGAAGGTCTTCCTAAGAAACATTTCCCTTAAATGGTCTTTAATTCGATTAAGTCAAATTGAGCCCCTGATTCATTATAGTTATGTAATATAAGCTAATTTGTATGAGTTTCTAGTCCTAATGCCTGGAAAATCTGATAAATGATTCCACACACCCAGGAGTTTTTAGAGAAATATGACAAAAATCTCAAAACTTACGGATTGGCAGCCCATCCCACTGGGGAGTTCCATTTTGTGGAACCCTACATTTGTCAAGCCAAGTGTGTAAGGACTGCATCCATGGTAGGCTCCTCTGCAGACAGAAAACAGTGGGAGGACTGGGTTAAGTTTACTTTTCTATGATCACTGGCCTGTGGAACACTGGGTAGGACAAAAAAGGAAGTCCATGTAGGCTATTCAGGCTATGGCTCCTTACCATAAGCAGAGATGAAAGTGGGCCCAGTGTCATAGGGCAAAGTCATGAGCTTCTGGGGGTGCAGACCAATCGTTCACTATTTGGCATAGGTCATAGTCAATGCCATACCTTTTTTTAACTTTTATTTTTTAAAATTTTAATCTTTAATTTTTCTCTTATATTGGAGCATAGTTCATGAAAAACGTTGTGTGTTAGTTTCTGTACCACATCTTTAAAGTGAAAAAGGTGTCATGTCACCTTCTTTTTAATTCCAGAGGAGAATCTATGACAAAACTGGGACTCCAAACTCTTGGTTACCTCGGTCAGGGACCCCTACCTTGGATCAGGCCAATTTGGATGGTGTTATCCAGACATAAAATTCATTTGACTGACCCTACCCTAAAATCTAAAATTAGAAAAACACCCCAGGAAAGCCCCTCTCCTGCTTTAGGCTATATTTTAAAGATAAACATGTAATATTGGGGTGAGTCAATGTTAAAGTTGAATGTTCCAAGGTGTGGTTACCTGAAAGAAATGATATCTGTGTTATTTGAGTGTGCTCTGGCCATCAGCATGGCTAGGTCATTGGCTTCTGAGCCACTGTTCATCAGGAAAATGACCTGGAGAAAAAAAAAAGACACATGGTCATGAGACACATGATTACCCAATTCATTCGATATTGTTAAAAACAGTGTATCCCAGCCTCTGATTATTAAGGAGAGTTCCCTTCGTACCAGTAGTCCCGTCATTGAATTACTATATTAATTCTACAGCTATTCACTTAGCAGCTGCTAAGCACTAGAGATACAAAAATGACTAAGGGATTGTCGGAGTTGTGAAATATTCCAGATTTTCATTGGTTTTACCTGATTCTCTGCAGAGTGCTAAGATGGAGAGACTTGCTGAGACATACAGTGGTTAGTGGCTGAGGGGCTCTGAGGACCAGGTCTCTTGGTTCTTGAATCTGGACTGCCCCACCTGATTCTGAAGGCTTGAGACAAGGCAGGCTCCCAGAGGAGCCTGTTCGGTGTTTGTGAATGTTAAAACAAACGAGCAACAAACAAAAAAGTGCAGCTCATCCTGGTTGAAAGAAAGGGGAGAACTGAAGGGTACTGGATCCTCCAGGCTCGGGGACTGGGAGGCCAGGGCTGTGCCCTTGCAGGCTTCCTCGTCTCTACTCATCCATGAGTGTGTCTGCCCTGAACTGAGGTTGCAGCTCTTGCAACGTCCTCCATCTCTTGTAGATAACATAGTAAATATGGTACCTAAATAATACAGGAAGATGATCATGATAGCTAACACCAGGTACGGCGCACTGTTCTAAATATGTATTAACTCATTGAATCCTGAAATGAAAACCTTGGCCAACATTTTAACATCTCAATTCAATCATTAATTCAATGATTCAATGATTAATTAATCATTAATCGTTAAAAAATTCAATATTTCAGACGCAGAAAAACATCTCATTTAGCAAAAATATCAAAGTGCATCTCAGACCAAATGAACTTAATGGTATATTAATTTTCTAAAAAAATGGCTCCACTCTTTGTTAAAGAAGAATGGTTAACCAACAAGGACCTACTGTGTAGCACAGGGAACTCTGCTCAATATTATGTAACAACCTAAATGGAAAAAGAATTTGAAAAAGAATAGATACATGGTTATGTATAACTGAATCACTTTGCTGGACGCCTGAAACTAACACAACATAGTTACGCAACTCTACTCCAGTATAAAATAAAAAGTTTAAAAAAAAAAGAAGAAATTCCAATGACTTTGCAGAGGGGCTGTGGAACAAAGAGATGAAAACTTCCTGAGGAACACAGAGGAGAGTGTCAGGAAGCCTGGGGCTCCCGCTAAGTGATTTCTGCAAAGATGTGGTGGTGAGGAGAGTGACCAAGGAGAGGCAGATGTTTGGAACTGATGAAGTGAACATCGGCTGGTTTCACCAGTAATTCATCAATTCCTTTCTTCTCCTAGAGTGCTTTCCGATATGGCCACTAGCGCACTCATTTTGGACGTTCAAAGAACAGACCTGATTCCCACCCATACTCTTATTTCCTAAGCCAGCTTCCCTGAGATCATGAGACTCCTATCCCTTTGAACTGGAAGCATCAGACCTTCAGAGGTTCAGGAAGAAGCGCTGAAAGCTTCTCTGCATATTCGTGGATCGGAGGGTGGAAGAAGACGGCACTTGTGTGCCACAGGCGGCCAAGCTGCTTTTGTGCCACTGCGTTTACTTTCCTGGATAAACAGAAGAGCAGAGTTACCCACAGTGCCAGCGGGCATGTCCCTCCCAACACAACACAGGCCATTGAACTCAAACCCACGGCTATTTCTCAAAGAGTTTCAAGAGGCTGATTTCATCCCCACACAAGAAAGAGTTTCTCTAACCACCAGAGGTATCTGGCAATGCGATATGTTGCCTCAAAATGTAATGAATTCCTCACCAAGAGGAGTGTTCAAAAGGAGACTTATGCGCTGGGGATTTTATTTTATTTTTATTTATTTATTTTTAACATCTTTATTGGAGTATAATTGCTTTACAATGGTGTGTTAGTTTCTGCTTCACAACAAAATGAATCAGTTATGTATATACGTATGTTCCCATATCTCTTCCCGCTTGCGTCTCCCTCCCTCCCACCCTCCCTATCCCACCCCTCCAGGTGGTCACAAAGCACCGAGCTGAACTCCCTGTGCTATGCGGCTGCTTCCCACTAGCTATCTATCTTACGTTTGGTATTGTATATATGTCCATGCCTCTCTCTCGCTTTGTCACAATTTACCCTTCCCCCCTCCCCATATCCTCAAGTCCGTTCTCTAGTGTGTGTCTTTATTCCTGTTTTACCCCTAGGTTCTTCATGACATTTTTTTTTTCTTAAATTCCATGTATATGTGTTAGCATACGGTATTTGTCTCTCTCTTTCTGACTTACTTCAATATGTATGACAGACTCTAGGTCTATCCACCTCATTACAATAGCTCAATTTCGTTTCTTTTTATGGCTGAGTAATATTCCATTGTATATATGTGCCACATCTTCTTTATCCATTCATCCGATGATGGACACTTAGGTTGTTTCCATCTCTAGGCTATTGTAAATAGAGCTGCAGTGAACATTTTGGTACATGACTCTTTTTGAATTATGGTTTTCTCAGGGTATATGCCCAGTAGTGGGATTGCTGGGTCATATGGTAGTACTATTTGTAGTTTTTTAAGGAACCTCCATACTGTTCTCCACAGTGGCTGTATCAACTTACATTCCCACCAACAGTGTAAGAGGGTTCCCTTTGCTCCACACCCTCTCCAGCATTTATTGTTTCTAGATATTTTGATGATGGCCATTCTGACTGGTGTGAGATGATATCTCATTGTAGTTTTAATCTGCATTTCTCTAATGATTAGTGATGTTGAGCATTCTTTCATGTGTTTGTTGGCAGTCTGTATATCTTCTTTGGAGAAATGTCTATTTAGGTCTTCTGCCCATTCAGTTGTTTGTATTTTTGATACTGAGCCCCATGAGCTGCTTATATATTTTGGAGATTAATCCTTTGTCAGTTGCTTCATTTGCAAATATTTTCTCCCATTCTGAGGGTTGTCTTTTGGTCTTGTTTATGGTTTCCTTTGCTGTGCAAAAGTTTTGAAGTTTCATTAGGTCCCATTTGTTTATTTTTGTTTTTATTTCCATTTCTCTAGGAGGTGGGTCAAAAAGGACCTTGCTGTGATTTATGTCATAGAGTGTCCTGCCTATGTTTTCCTCTAAGAGTTTGATAGTTTCTGGCCTTACATTTAGGTCTTTAATCCATTTTGAGCTTATTTTTGTGTATGGTGTTAGGGAGTGATCTAATTTCATACTTTTACATGTAGCTGTCCAGTTTTCCCAGCACCACTTATTGAAGAGGCTGTCCTTTCTCCACTGTACAATCCTGCCTCCTTTGTCAAAGATAAGGTGACCATATGTGCGTGGGTTTATCTCTGGGATTTCTATCCTGTTCCATTGATCTATATTTCTATTTTTGTACCAGTACCGTACTGTCTTGATTACTGTAGATTTGTAGTATAGTCTGAAGTCAGGGAGCCTGATTCCTCCAGCTCCGTTTTTCATTCTCAAGATTGCTTTGGCTGTTCGGGGTCTTTTGTGTTTCCATGCAAATTGTGAAATTTTTTGTTCTAGTTCTGTGAAAAATGCCAGTGGTAGTTTGATAGGGATTGCACTGAATCTGTAGATTGCTTTGGGTAGAAGATTCATTTTCACAATGTTGATTCTTCCAATCCAAGAACATGGTATATCTCTCCATCTATTTGTATCATCTTTAATTTCTTTCATCAGTGTCATATTATTTTCTGCATACAGGTCTTTTGTCTCCTTAGGTAAGTTTATTCCTAGATATTTTATTCTTTTTCTTGCGATGGTAAATGGGAGTGTTTTCTTGATTTCACTTTCAGATTTTTCATCATTAGTGTATAGGAATGCAAGAGATTTCTGTGCATTAATTTTGTATCCTGCTACTTTACCAAATTCATTGATTAGCTCTAGTAGTTTTCTGGTAGCATCTTTAGGATTCTCTATGTATAGTATCATGTCATCTGCAAATAGTGACAGCTTTACTTCTTCTTTTCTGATTTGGATTCCTTTTATTTCCTTTTCTTCTCTGATTGCTGTGGCTAAAACTTCCAAAACTGTGTTGAATAAGAGTGGTGAGAGTGAGCAACCTTGTCTTCTTCCTGATCTTAGTGGAAATGCTTTCAGTTTTTCACCATTGAGGACAATGTTGGCTGTGGGTTTGTCATATATGGCCTTTATTATGTTGAGGAAAGTTCCCTCTATGCCTACTTTCTGCAGGGTTTTTATCATAAATGGGTGTTGAATTTTGTCAAAAGCTTTCTCTGCATCTATTGAGATGATCATATGGTTTTTCTCCTTCAATTTGTTAATATGGTGTATCACATTGATTGATTTGCATATATTGAAGAATCCTTGCGTTCCTGGTATAAACCCCACTTGATCATGGTGTATGATCCGTTTAATGTGCTGTTGGATTGTGTTTGCTAGTATTTTGTTGAGGAGTTTTGCATCTGTATTCATCAGTGATATTGGCCTGTAGTTTTCTTTCTTTGTGACATCCTTGTCTGGTTTTGGTATCAGGGTGATGGTGGCCTTGTAGAATGAGTTTGGGAGTGTTCCTCCCTCTGCTATATTTTGGAAGATTTTGAGAAGGATAGGTGTTAGCTCTCTTCTAAATGTTTGATGGAATTCACCTGTGAATCCATCTGGTCCTGGGCTTTTGTTTGTTGGAAGATTAAAATTTTAATCACAGTTTCAACTTCAGTGCTTGTGATTGGTCTGTTTATATTTCCTATTTCTTCCTGGTTCAGTCTCAGGAGGTTGTGCTTTCTAAGAATTTGTCCATTTCTTCCAGGTTGTCCATTTTATTGGCAGATAGTTGCTTGTTGTAATCTCTTATGATCCTTTGTATTTCTGCAGTGTCAGTTGTTACTTCTTCTTTTTCATTTCTAATTCTATTGATTTGAGTCTTCTCCCTTTTGTTCTTGATGAGTCTGGCTAATGGTTTATCAATTTTGTTTATCTTCTCAAGGAACCAACTTTTAGTTTTATTGAGCTTTGCTATCATTTCCTTCATTTCTTTTTCATTTATTTCTGATCTGATCTTTATGATTTCTTTCCTTCTGCTAACTTTGGGGTTTTTCTATTGTTCTTTCTCTAACTGCTTTAGGTGTAAGGTTAGGTTGTTTAGTCGAGATGTTTCCTGTTTCTTAAGGTAGGATTTTATTGCTATAAACTTCCCTCTTAGAACTGCTTTTGCTGCATCCCATAGATTTTGGGTCATCGTGTCTCCATTGTCATTTGTTTCTAGGTACTTTTTGACTTCCTCTTTGATTTCTTCAGTGATCACTTCGTTATTAAGTAGTGTATTGTTTAGCCTCCATGTGTTTGTATTTTCTACAGATCTTTTCCTGTAATTGATATCTAGTCTCATAGCGTTGTGGTCGGAAAAGATACTTGATACAATTTCAATTTTCTTAAATTTACCAAGACTTGATTTGTGACCCAAGATATGATCTATCCTGGAGAATGTTCCATGAGCACTAGAGAAAAATGTGTATTCTGTTGTTTTTGGATGGAATGTCCTATAAATATCAATTAAGTCCATCTTTTTTAATGTGTCATTTAAAGCTTGCATTACCTTATCTATTTTCATTTTGGATCATCTGTCCATTGGTGAAAGTGGGGTGTTAAAATCCCCTATTGTGATTGTGTTACTGTCAATTTCCCCTTTTATGGCTGTTAGCATTTGCCTTATGTATTCAGGTGCTCCTATGTTGGGTGCATAAGTATTTACAATTGTTATATCTTCTTCTTGAATTGATCCCTTGATCATTATGTAGTGTTCTTATTGTCTCTTGTAATAGTCTTTATTTTAAAGTCTCTTTTATCAGAGATGCGTATTGCTACTCCAGGTTTCTTTTTATTTCCATTTGCATGGAATATCTTTTTCCATCCCCTCACTTTCAGTCTGCATGTGTCCCTAGGTCTGAAGTGGGTCTCTTGTAGACAGCACATATGTGGGTCTTGTTTTTGTATCCATTCAGCCAGTCTATGTCTTTTGGTTGGAACATTTAATCCATTTACATTTAAGGTAGTTATTGATATGTATGTTCCTATTACCATTTTCTTAATTGTTTTGGGTTTATTATTGTAAGTCTTTTCCTTCTCTTGTGTTTCCTGCCTAGAGAAGTTGCTTTAGCATTTGTTGTAGAGCTGGTTTGGTGGTGCTGAATTCTCTTAGTTCTTGGTTGTCTGTAAAGGTTTTAATTTCTCTTTTGAAATTGAATGAGATCCTTGCTGAGTAGAGTAATCTTGATTGTAGGTTTTTCCCTTTCATCTTGTTAAATATGTCCTGCCACTCCCTTCTGGTTTGCAGTTTCTGCTGAAAAATCAGCTGTTAACCTTATGGGGATTCCCTTGTATGTTATTTATTGCTTTTCCCTTGCTGCTTTTCATATTTTTTCTTTGTATTTAACTTTTGACAGTTTGATTAATATGTGTCTTGGTGTGTTTCTCCATGGATTTATCCTGTATAGGACTCTCTGCACTTCCTGGACTTGATTGACTATTTCCTTTCCCATATTAGGGAAGTTTTCAAGTATAACCTCCTCAAGTATTTTCTCAGTCCCTTTTTTTTTTTCTCTTCTTCTGGGACCGCTATAATTCGAATGTTGGTTTGTTTAATGTTGTCCCAGAGGTCTCTGAAACTGTCCTCAATTCTTTTCATTCTTTTTTCTTAATTCTGGTCTGTGATAGTTATTTCTCCTATTTTATCTTCTAGGTCACTTATCTGTTCTTCTGCCTCAGTTATTCTGCTCTTGATTCCTTCTAGAGAATTTTTAATTTCATTTATTGTGTTGTTCATCATTGTTTGTTTGCTCTTTAATTCTTCTAGGTCCTTGGTAAACGTGTCTTGTATTTTCTCCATTCTATTTCCAAGATTTTGGATCACCTTTACTGTCATTACTCTGAATTCTTTTTCAAGTAGACTGCCTATTTCCTCTGCATTTGTTTGGTCTGGTGGGTTTTTGCCTTGCTCCTTTATCTGCTGTGTATTTCTCTGTCTTCTCATTTTGCTTAAGTTACTGTGTTTGGGGTCTCCTTTTCACAGCCTGCAGGTTCATCGTTCCTGTTGTTTTTGGTGTCTGCCCTCAGTGGGTAAGGTTGGTTCAGTGGGTAGTGTAGGCTTTCTGGTGGAGGGGCCTGGTGCCTGTGTTCTGGTGGATGAGGCTGGATCTTGTCTTTCTGGTGGGCAGGACCATGTCTGGTGGTGTGTTTTAGGGTGTCCATGAGCTTATTATGATTTTAGGCAGCTTGTTTGCTAATGCATCAGTTTGTGTTCCTGTCTTGGTAGTTGTTTGGCATGGGGTGTCCAGCACTGTAGCTTGCTGGTTGTTGAGTGGAGCTGGGTCTTAGCGTTGAGATGGAGATCTCTGGGAGAGCTTTTGACGTGTGTTATAACATGGAGCTGGGAGGTCTTTGGTGGACCAGTGTCCTGAACTCACCTCTCCCACCTCCTAGGCTCAGGCCTGACACCTGGCAGGAGCACCAAGACCCTGTCAACCATATGGCTCAGAAGAAAATGGAGGGAAAAAAAAGAAAGAAAGAAGGAAATAAAATAAAGTTATTAAAATAAAAAATTATTAAAAATTATAAAATTAAAAGTAATAAAAACAAAGAAAGAAGAGAGCAACCAAACCAATAAACAAATCTACCAATGATAATAAGCTCTAAATACTAAACTAAGATATACATAAAACCAGAAACAAATTAGATGCAGAAAGCAAACCCCAAGTCTACAGTTGCTCCTAAAGTCCACCTCCTCAATTTGGGATGATTCGTTGTCTATTCAGGTATTTCACAGATGCAGGGTACATCAAGTTGATTGTGGAGCTTTAATCCGCTGCTTCTGAGGCTGCTGGGAGAGATTTCCCTTTCTCTTCTTTGTTCTCACAGCTCCCAGGGGCTCAGCTTTGGATTTGGCCCTGCCTCTGCATGTAGGTTGCTGGAGGGCGTCTGTTTTTCGCTCAGACAGGATGGGGTTAAAGGAGCAGCTGATTAGGAGGCTCTGGCTCACTCAGGCCGGGGGGGAGGGAAGGGTACGGAGTGCGGGGCGAGCCTGCGGCGGCAGAAGCCGGCGTGACTTTGCACCATCCTGAGGCGCGCCGTGCGTTCTCCCGGGGAAGTTGTCCCTGGATCCCGGGACCCTGGCAGTGGCGGGTTGTACAGGCTCCCCGGAAGGGGGTTGTGGATAGTGACCTGTGCTCGCACACAGGCTTCTTGGTGGCGGCAGCAGCATCCTTAGCGTCTCATACCCGTCTCTGGGGTCCACGCTTTTAGCCGCGGCTCGTGCCCGTCTCTGGAGCTCCTTTAAGCAGCGCTCTTAATCCCCTCTCCTCGCGCACCAGGAAACAAAGAGGGAAGAAAACGTCTCTTGCCTCTTCGGCAGTTCCAGACTTTTCCCCGGACTCCCTGCCGGCTAGCCGTGGTGCACTAACCCCCTGCAGACTGTGTTCACGCTGCCAACCCCAGTCCTCTCCTGGCGCTCCGACCAAAGTCCGAGCCTCAGCTCCCAGCCCCCGCCCGCCCCGGTGTGTGAGCAGACAAGCCTCTCAGGCTGGTGAGTGCCGGTCGGCCCCGATCCTCTGTGCGGGAATCTCTCCGCTTTGCCTTCCGCACCCCTGTTGCTGTGCTCTCCTCCACGGCTCCGAAGCTTCCCCCCTCCTCCACCCACAGTCTTCGCCCGTGAAGGGGCTTCCTAGTGTGTGGAAACCTTTCCTCCTTCACAGCTCCCTCCCACTGGTGCAGGTCCCGTTCCTATTCTTTTGTCTCTGTTTATTCTTTTTTCTTTGGCCCTACCCAGGTACGTGGGGAGTTTCTTGCCTTTTGGGAAGTCTGAGGTGTTCTGCCAGCGGTCAGTGGGTGTTCTGTAGGAGTTGTTCCACATGTAGATGTATTTCTGGTGTATCTGTGGGGAGGAAGGTGATCTCCGCGTCTTACTCCTCCACCATCTTGAAGTGCCCCTCTTAACTGAGGTTCTGAATCACGAACATGATCATTAGCCTGTTTATCGTATATTTTTCTGGCGTGAAAATCCCAGAATTTTAAGCATACTCACGGGTGGCAGTGACCAACACTGACAGTGACAATCCCAGAAAAGAAGTCCAGGTATCTGTTTCCTTCATAATCAAAGAGCCACTCCATGTGCCCCTGGTGGAGCAACAAGGGCTCTGAGAAATAGGCCGTCAGCACAGGAGAAAGATGTTGCTTGTGGATCTCCAGGACTCGATTATAGGCAAGGGACTGTAGGTAGGCAAGATTTAAGCATTTAACATCTTCCTTATCCCCACATTGCTTAAAACATCACTAGCAGGTCCATATAGCAGTGCCTGGCCTCCCACCACCCTGGCACAGGGCTGCTACCCTTGCTCATCAGGGCAGCTATTTTCCCAGTGACCTCCTTGTGGGACAGACACCCAGGTCCTTCCTCTCAAGTGGAGGAAATTATTCATGTGGCCCTTTAATCCCTTTGTAGATCAAACATGGAGAAGGGGGCTGGAATTTTCTACCTCTCAATGGAAAGCCTTGGCTTTGAGTTAATTCTAGCTGTGAAAAAAAGTAAAAGACGTTGGAAGTAAATGTCTGAAGTAATGTTTTTTTTTTTTTAAGAATAAAAGAATTGGGCTTCCCTGGTGGCACAGTGGTTGGGAGTTCGCCTGCCGATGCAGGGGCCACGGGTTCGTGCCCCGGTCCGGGAGGATCCCACATGCCGCGCAGCGGCTGGGCCCGTGAGCCATGGCTGCTGAGCCTGCGCTTCCGGAGCCTGTGCTCCGCAACGTGAGAGGACATAACAGTGAGGCCCGCATACCGGAAAAAAAAAAAAAGAAAAAAAAAGCAGAAAAAAACAAACAATGAAGTGCTTGTGGTGTTTATGTCTTTAATTACAAAGCCTCTGTCCTATAGTTCTCCTCTCCGTGGGTCCCTCCTGACTCTATTAATTCTACAATTTCTAACTTATGAATATTATGTAGGATGAAGGGATGTTGGGGAGAGAGGGAGACAGAGACACAGAGAGAGAGAGAGAGAGAATGAGTCCAATATTTATTAGCCTGAGAGCAAAATGACAACTTTATATTTTTTGGTGGAGGACTCAGGAAGGTCAGGTTATGCATTGACATATGAGATAGAATAAAACGTGAGCCTTCACATTTGTGATCTATGTATTTCTTTGTGTGTGTGCATCTATGCCTACATCCCTGGGATACACATATTGTCATGGACAGTCTCTTCCTTGTATTCTCTGTCTCCTTCTGTTTTGTCTCTCCATCTTTGCCTCTGTCTGTCTCTGTCTCACACACACACCAACTCCTGCAATGCCACTGAATGGGGTGAGAGTTCAGATGCTCCCAGTGACTTAAGGGATAGGACATCTGAGACGGATGGCTCAGTGGCAGGCAGGGCCGTCTGTGGGTCCTTCTTGAGGAAGCAACTACTTGAGGCCTCCCAGGAAGAACCACCTCGCTGGGGTATTCCCAAAGCTCTTACTCTCACCTGGTATCTTTCAGGTGTGAAGTCACACGGAGGCATGCTGGGCTTTGTATGAAGACCGAGCTTGGTTACAGAGGTCCAGAAAGCACCTACTGAAAGTGAAGTGAAGTGAAGTGTTAGTGTCCTCAGCTAAACATCACACAGGCACGTTCGTAAGAATCATCTATAGTTACCTGAATCAAAGTCCTGAGGCACTTTTGTTTATTTCTTATTTAAATCAGCCTTTGGATTTAAAACTGAGGTATCTTTTTTTTTTTTTTACAGCTCAGAAAGAGTTTTACTCACAAGGCAGCCAAGCGAGGAGACTGGAGGACAAGTCTCAGAACTGCCTCCCCAGTTGGGATATTTATGGAATAAGCAGGGTGGTCTTAGATGTGGGGAAAGGTAATCGCAGGTAGGGAAGGAGGTGAGGTAATTGGTGCTCTGCGCAGGTGCGTCTCAGTTACGAAGTCTGCATATTCAAAACGGAGGCAATGAGCGGCACGGATGGTGGAGTTTTCCAGCCTCTGACGTCACCAGGCCAGTGAGCGCAGGCCCCAAACTGAGGTATCTTAATAATGAATTTTCTTAAACAACAAGGTCCTACTGCACTGCACAGGGCACTATATTCAATATCCTGTGATAAATCATAATGGAAAAGAATAGGTAAAAGAATATATGTGTATAACTGAGTCACTGCAGTACAGCAGAAATTAACACAACATTGTAAATCAACTATGCTTCAATAAAATTAAAAGTTAAAAAATAATGAATTTTCTGGAGAAAAAAAGGGAGGTCCTCTCAAATCTAGTCAGGAAAGGCACAGAGGATACGGGGGAAGTCATGGTTTCTCCCACCTGGGTCCCTCCCAAGCTTGGGAAGTTCCTCCCTCTGCTGCCTGGATGGACTGTAATTCTCTGTTCAGTTCAAACTTCTGCCAGGGCCGGGGGTTGCAGGCGTCCATTCTCTGTCAATAGAGGTGCTTTCTAAGCTTTGACCTTCCTAGTCCCTGAATCCCCGTGCCTAGCCCAGTTCCCAGTACTGGGTTGGCTCCAATAAACAAAGAACAAATGGCTTTTGACTATTCTTGTAGAGCATGAGGAGAGAGAGGTGCCAGGCCATGTACTATGATGATAAATACATGCAAGGAGATCTGGAAGACAAAACCTTCCTGTAAAACACAACCTGAAGCCCATGACAACACAAGACCGTGGCAAAGAAAAGATAAGCTGGGCCAGAGGAATCATTAAATATTTGGAGCTAGAAGGAAGCTTAGATTTTTTTTGTGTGTGTGGGGGGGTCAAAATGCTCATTTTATAGATGTAGAAACCAGCCTAAAGTGGTAAATTAATTTGTTTAAGATCACCAAGCTAGTTAGCTGCAGAACAAGAACAAAACTCCCAGTTTCTGACTCCCAGCCTGGTACCGTTTCGCTCATTCGCTGCCCACCTCCATCCTCCTCTGGCAGCACAGATCTTGACCTCTCTATAGCAGTGGGATGGAATAATAGAATCAGAGAACATCGGAGCTGGAAGAGCTATCTAGAAACCTTATAAGTACTCTTAGAAAAGAATGCTGCTAATTTTTAGGATTCAAGGTCCGTATCGAGAAAATTTTACAGGTGGAGAGAGCTGAGGAAATGATGTCTCTTGTTCAGCATGAAGGTTTGAATCCATGGATGTAATGTTGGTGTTTTGTGTGGCTATAAAGTCACCCTCCTGAGAAACACAATGAGCAATTGTGTTTTTAAATGAATCTGGAAAGTAATGACACTGACTCTCTTTCTTTCAGAGAAAACTCATCCACTTTTCTGCTCTAAATAATCACAAATGTCGTTCATTTGCTCTTACTTTAAAAGCAAGTTGCTTTTGGCTATCCATACATAGAAATGACCCCAAAAATAATGGCTAAGTTTTCTGAGAATTCCACATTTTCAAAAGCTTTTCATTGTGTCTCTCTACATTAGTTACTGTTCTGATATGGGGGAAAAAGTTCTGAGTGTTTCTAAGAATTCGAATTCTCTTCACTCCCACAGTCTCATTTTCCTTTCTGCAAAATTGGAGTTACCCATTGAGGAGGCTGAAAGGTCTCTTGACTCCAAAGTTACAGGAAATTATGAAAGTAGTCTGGAGGGGGAAGAAAGAGAGTTGGAAAAATTTGATAAAGAAAAGCTTGAATTTTAAATGGTCAAGTTAGGTATATTCATTCATGCATTTGTTTGTTCACCAAACTGATAGGAATATGATGGCTGAATGAGGGCTCAAAATGAAATACATAAAATTCTGCTCTCTGGAAGGATGGAAGGAAGGAAGATTAGCAAGCAAGTAGGAAAAATAATAAGTCAGTAAGTGAAATAAGTCTTGATTACATCTCACACTTGTATGTGGAATCCAAAAAATGAAACAAATGAATGACTATAACAAAACAGAAACAGACTCACAGATATAGAGAACAAACTAGTGGTTACCAGTGGGGAGAGGGATCAGGGGGAGGGGCAAGGTAGGGGTAGGGGATGAAGAGGTACAACTACTATGTATAAAATAAATAAGGTACAAGGATATATTGTACAGCACAGGGCATAAAGCCAGTATTTCATAATAACTTTAAATGGAGTATAGCTGTACAAATATTGAATCACTATGTTGCACACGTGAAGTTAATATAGTATTGTCAGTCAACTGTACTTTGATAAAAAGAGGAAAAAAGTCTAGACAACATCTTCAAACAGCTGAAAACCTCTCTCACTAAATAATCCAAACTCAAAAATAACAGTACATATAATAGTTGATTAACAAAAAGAAAGAAAATGCTTCCGTTTTCATTATTTGCTGGAAGAAATTCCAACCTAAACATGTTGATGGTTGCCTGCATTCTTTATTCAAAATAGCCTATGTTTTGAGGATGACATAGAGTTGAGGTTGATAAAGCTTCTCTTGGGCTCCTGGAAATTGTGTGTGCGTGTGTGTGCACCTGCCTGTTTGCACGCCTGGGGCCCGGGAGTGTGGGGCTAGTGGTGGTGGGGAGAAGACAGCACCAAGGGGGTCGGGGAAGGGAGAACTGAAATATGGGTTCATAAAACTGAGTCCCACGTCTATTTCAGCATAGGAATTTTTTTGTCTCTCTTTGATCATTTTGGCTGGTCTGATGTTGCCTTTTTAAACCTGATGCTGAACATGGATGACAGCTAATGATTTTCATTAAATTCATCAACTTCCACTCAATTCATTTGAACAACTCAAGACATTTAAAGGTGGCCTTTGGGGTGGGGAGGGGGAGGAATAAATTAGGAGCATAGGATTAATAGCTACACATCACTATATGCAAAATAGCTAAACAACAGGGATTTACTGTATAGCACAGGGAACTATATTCAATATCTTGTAATAATCTGTAATGGAAAGGAATCTGAAAAAAAAGATACATGTAGAACTGAATCACCTTGCTGTACACCTGAAACTTATACAATATTGTAAACCAACTCTACTTCAAATAAAAAGATGGTTTGGTTTGGAGAACACGACCACTCTTGCCAAGTGGGTAACTAGATTTAATTTTCCGGCTGCCTAATTCTCACCAACAGAGTTCCACAACAGACAAGTCACCTTAGCTCTGTGCTCTTTCCCCCCAAATCATAGTATCAAAAAGTGAAAACCTGTTGGGCAAGGTAAGTGAGAGAAATCCGTGTCTGTAGACATTTGAAAATTCTAGGGGAAATTCTCTTTGTAATGACGAAGATTTTTCTAATATCCACAACCAACTTTCAACACAGGGTGGGTATTTGTTAAGAGCCTGTGACTCTTTCAAATAAAAAAAAGGTTATAAAATATTTGAAAATACACAATGGGCATACCTGATAGAACATTAAGGGAATTTATTAAAGTGCTAACGATGCCTTATTTCTGCATAACATATTAGGTCACTTTAAAAAAGCTTGTCACTTTGGGTATCTCATCTGATACACGGGCTAGCCAGCGAGTTAGGAGAAGAAGATTTTATCACTCACCTTAGAGCTGAGGCCGTGATTAAACGCGAGGTGTTCGCAGTTTTGAGGTCCCACCCTCACCCCCCATGGGGCTGAGGGCCTGAGGCCACCTCCTTTCTCCCTTCATAAACTGCCCCACAGTCTGCAGGAAGTTACGGAGGATGCTCATCCTTGATTGAACTGTGTGCTCTAAGTGACCGGATAATAATACCAGCTGCCTGTCTCCCGCCAGGGAAGCCAAGGGTAGGGCGTGAGACCTCTGAAGGTCTCACATCTGAATCGGATGTCCCTGCTTCTGGATCTGAAGTCTTGAGCAAAGGACCTGGATGGAGGGAGTAGCTGGAGGTCCTCATTAGAGCCATGATGTGCTTCCGAGGCTGTTCCTGCCTGGAGTTCCTGCTGTTTCCATGGGGCTTTCCCTGGTACCTTTGCAAGTCCAGTCCTGCCTACCTCCTCACCTTCCTATTGATTCTTATAGCCCCTCCCACCTTCCCTCTGTATCCTTCCAATAAATGTCCTTTTCCCTAAGTAAACCAGGGCCAATTGCCATTTTTCACCAGCAAGAGCTCTGCCTGATTCCCAGGCTGGTGGCGGCATCCATCCTTTGGTACCTTTGGCAGCAGGCCTACTCTGAGCCCCTCCTGGCCCTCCGCTGGGCTTAGGTCAGTCCGCAGATGGCAGCAAGGATGGCCTGGAGGGGCAGGCGGGACACCTACCCTTAGGGCTAATTTGAATGGTTTTCTTAGAAAACGCTTTGCAGGAGGCTTGGGATGTTTCTCAGGTGGAAATGGGTGTTATTTGCAATCCACTTGCCCTCCTGTGCACCCCTCCTTGTGGGAGAGAAGGCAGGTGATAGCACCATGGTATGTTTGAGCATACACCCCACCTGCCTAGACATGTTATAAATTTAATAATCTTTGCTAATTAGTAAGAAAGAAGGCATGGCTGAGATATTTTCTCCATTCTTTTATCCTGAAAGCAAATTGCTTCTGTAACTTTGTGGACATAGTCAGCCTAAAGTGATTGTGCCTATCAAACAGAGGTAAGGCTGGACATTGTATGCACACATCCATCACATAATACGCATGCAGGTGTTCTACAAGGATTGTGACATACTCTTTTTCTTTGGCTGTACCATGCGGCATGTGGGATCTCAGTTCCCCAACCAGGGATTGAACCCTTGCCCCCTGCAGTGGAAGCTCGGAGTCCTAACCACTGGACTGCCAGGGAAGTCCTGTGACACATTTTTATTTTTGCATATCTGACAGCTTTCAACACCAGGTGATCTTCCTGTCCAACGTGGCCCCTGCCTCCCCCTCCACCCATTTTAGTTTTCTATTGCCTCACCATGATTTGGTTTGATTTACAGCATGTATCTCGACTGGATTTCATCTTTTACATATTTACCTGTTTATCTGTTTATGCTCAGTCTCCCCCACTGGGATACATAAGGGCTGAGATTTTGTTTTGCTCAGGTGTGTGGTAGGTGCTCACATACTTATTGCCTAATGTCTATTTGCATCCCGCAGATTCTTAAGAAGGGTGTGTTCAATGAGTGTGTGTTTGGATGACAAGCAAGCAGGCAGGTATTTAGGACAGTAGGTAAGAAAGTAGAAGCCAAGTCCCGAAGGTTTTGGAAAGACCAGGTAAAAAGTATGGCATCCATGTCTACGTGTGCTGGGTTTGCAGGATTACTTTCCCCCCGTAGTGTCCTTGGTGGAGCCAAGTGAAGGGGTCCCCAGTGAGCTGATCAAGATCTCTAGGCACCGAGCCTCACCTGCCATTTCCCGTGCCCTGCTCCCACCATCAGCCCAGCTCCACAGCCCTCAGGGCAGGGGTAGGAAAAGGGAAGAGGCAGCAGAGAGGGCATTTTCTCTTACTTTGTCAGCAACCGGTACTTTTAGGGTAGCGTCCTCTTTACTAAGCATAAGACTCTGGGTATAATTCTAGCTCCTTCTCAGGAAATGCTGGAGTTAAATAGTGTTCTGGCGAAAGACCCATGACTGGGGGAAAAGACAAATCCAAAAGGGTGGGTAAGAAAGGGCCTGATGGAATCGCTCTGACTTTGGAGCCAGACAGACCTGGCTTTGAACCTCAAGTTGTCACTTCTATGTTTCTGCCTTTGACCAAATTTCTTAATTATCCTTTATTCTTCTGTCTCCTCATCTGTGAAATGGGATAATAGTACTCCCTAAGAAGTTTGGTTGAAGATGAGAGGAGATAATGCATTTAAAGCATCAGATATGTATTACGTTTCAAAGAATTGCAATTGTTAAGGGGGAAGAAAGCAAATGGAAGAGGAAGGAAGGAGATAGGAAAAGGAAAGATGAGGAGAGAATGAAGATAAAATTGATCATGATGGGCAATGGAAAAGGGTCTCCTGTGTTTGTTCGGGGTCTGTGGGCACAGGGTCCCACTGTGACACATCAGTGTGCAAATGCCTACTTACGCTCGAGTTTGCAGCAGGGAAATTGGTGAGGAGGTGGTAGGCTCCTAGTGAAACAAGATAGATGTGAAAAATCAGGAACACAAAGGCACATGAAGCCACCACCAGACCTGGCTACCCCGGGTCTGTTCCTGCTGGAGAAAGAGGAGAGTCTGAGTGGAAGAAGAGGACTCAGGGTTTAGACCTGGCTTCAGTGACTTTGGGTAAATGACTACACTTCTCTGAGGCTGTTTCCTGGTTAGTGATTGAGGGGGTGGTACCACTTTCCGGAGGCCTGGCGGTAATTTGTGTAGATGCTTTATGTTTTTTGAAACAGTTATCCTCAAGCATCTGTACACTACAGTTAATACTTTATTATTTTGAATTGCTTTCTTTTTCTTTCTTCTTTATGTTACCGCGACTGTTTTTGTTTTGAAATTGTGTATAGTCAGGTTTTATTATCCATGAATTTCATTTCAGGACAAAAGGAAGCATTAGGAAATATTGGACAGGAGAAGGGGGCACTGGGTCTGACAAGGTGAGGTCTAGCTCACAGGTCTTAGTGGACTTGTCTCTAAGACCCTATCCGGGTCTAACATTCCAGAATTCCAGAGCTCAGCCCTTCCCCTCTCGCTGACCCTCTGCTGACCCACGTCCCTCTGGTTTCCACTCACCTTTGGGGGAAGGGCATGTCTTGGGAGTCCTGGGAGTTGAGGTCTCCAGGTACAAAGCTCTCAGCAAATGTCTCCAGGCTAGAGTCATCTCTCCCAGTCAGGGAGCAAATCCCCGTGGAAGCAGGTCTGAGGAAGGGCTCCACTGCTCACTGACCAGCTGGACTTTGAGATTAGGACGGAAGGGGAGGAGCTGACCGAGGGGTTACTGCTTCCACTTCCAGTGGGTCCCAAAGAGAGAGAAAGAGAAAGCGGGTGGGAGAGAGGGAAGGAGGGAGGGAGGGAGGGAGAGAGAAAAGAGGAGGCAGGCAGATAGGCAAAGCAAGGGGTCTTCTGGCTATTTTGCTAGTTTTATGTCCCATCGGGGTCTCATCAGGATGAGAGTCTCTCTGCGGAAGGGTGGTGATGGGCCTGGGGGAAGGGTCAGGATATAGTTGCAGGGGTCAGAGACTTAGAAAGGAGAGGAGTGAAAAAGAGAGAGAGAAGGAAGATATCCGTGAATTAAATGGGTAAAGACACTGGTTTTCGTACTGGGGGTCTTGAAGGAAGACAAGAGGCATAATGGGGAAGGAGGTAGTCCACGGGAAAGGAGAAGGGCACCAAAAAGCTAGGGACGGCTCTGGACAGCTGCGTATCCCCTTAGGTATCTGAATAAGGCAAGAAGGTGAGAGCTGAGGAGTTAGGGTGCTTTATTTCTATTATGTTTTAATTTCTTAAATTCCCATTTGTCACTCCTGACTCCCCTGCACCCCTAATCTCCATAAACAACTATTTTGTGTGTTTAATATATACCTTTTTGTTGGTATGTATTCTTGTAAAATGTTTATTGTTTGGGGTGAATGCATTTTTTTAAAAAAAATATTTATTTTTGCCTGTGTTAGGTCTTTGTTGCTGCATGCGGGCTTTCTCTAGTTGCGGCGAGCGGGGGCTACTCTTCATTGCGGTGCGTGGGCTCCTAATTGTAGTGGCTTCTCTTGTTGCGGAGCACAGGCTCTAGGTGCGCGGGCTCAGTAGTTGTGGCTAGTGGGCTCTAGAGCGCAGGCTCAGTAGTTGTGGTGCGCGGGCTTCGTTGCTCCACTGCACGTGGGATCCTTACGGGATCGAACCCACGTCCCCTGCATTGGCAGGCAGATTCTTAACCACTTCGCCACCATGGAAGTCCTATGCATTTTTAGTTTATGTCAATAGGTGTGCTTTTTTTGTTTTTTCACTCAGAACCATGTTTTAAAAATCCATCCAGGTTGCTGTGAGTAGATCTCTTCCGGATTTCCAGCTGCTCTGGACTGGGTGTCCACGTGCCTTTGCAAGGCAGTGCCTAAGAAGGGAGAGTGACAAGGGCAGTAGGAGCTGGGAGGGTGAGAGGGTGTTGGGTTGATAACTGGCTCCCATCCACAGAGGGCAAGGAAGAGCCAGGCCTCTCCACAGTGGCAGGTGGCAGATTTAATAAACAGGGGAACTTATGAGGCTTGTCTTGGGAAAGTAGGTCTCTGCATCTGCCCACTGGAATCTTAAAATTTTATATAGAGGCCTTAATTGGGTTCAGTAATGTACACCGTCCAGTCATGTACACATTACTCTCTCAAGGCTGCATCCTTGGACCAGCTCTCACTGTGCGAATGATGGGAAGAATGTATATTCCAAGGACAGAGGAGGGGGTGAGAGCTTCTGAGTGCGTGGATCCAGCTCGCAGGTCAGCCAGTGGTCACATCCTCTCAACTTTCTCCTCCAGCAGGGTGGGACTGGGGGAACAGCATACAGGGTGGACGTCTTGTATCACCTTGCACAGGGGACAACTGGCTTGGCCACATCCCCCACATCTGGGAAATAACCTTTTAGCCCAAATGCCCGTAAGAGGTGAGATTACCAGGTAAGCACTGAAAGGTTTTAAATTCAATGTCAAGTGTCCCCTTTTGCGTGGGCTCCCAGCTCCCAGCCCATCCTGCTCTGGGGCTGTAGGAAGTGGTTCTGTGATCTGGGTGGTCAAGTGCTGTGGGAATGACACATGTCGGCAAGGCCAGTGGTGAGGCGAGGCCAGTGGTGATGCAGCCTCTCCCTGGGGTGCCCAAGCTATCACGGTGTTGGACTGAGGTGAGAAAATGCTGAGTTCCTGAGGGCTTGCATGTGTTCCTCAGCTCTACTGGGCTGTGATCTATTTTGCTCCTGCGAGCACTGGAGGCTGTAAACTCCTTGGATTTGAGATTTTTCTTGGGCTGTAAGTTTAAAGGCTGTTATGGTGAGAAGTGCCCAACAGCATCAGGGGCTGCCTAGGGCGGGAAAGCAAAACACGGCATAATCTGAGCAACTTCACAGTGAGAAGTTGTACCTTCTTTATTTAAAAGGAAATATGTTTATTTTGATCACTGTAACGTAATGTATGCTTTTCGTGAAAACAACAAACTCAAGCCTAGAAAACATGAGAGAGAGTAATAATCACAAAAAAATCTAACCTTTATATTTTAGTAAAGATTCTTTCAGAAATTTTTTTTCATGTGTGTACCTGTGTATATACATGATGTTTCATAAAGTGCTTATAGTCAATAATATAGCTTTTCATTCACAAAATGTCGATCTGGGTCATCACTCCTAATTCTTTCATAATATTTCTTGATATATTTTATTTAATTTTGGAAGATTCTTGGCCACTGTTACTTCAATAGTTTTTCCCTGTTCTTTCTTCTCCTTCTGATATTTCAATTATACACATATTACACTTTTAGAAATTGTCCCACAGTTCCTGGAGGTTCTGTTATTCTTTTCCCCCCACTCTATTCTCTCATTGCATTTTAATCTGGGAAGTTTCTATTACCCATCTTCAGAGTTCACTGATTATTTCCTCAGCCATGTTCAGTCTACTGATGAGCCAATCAAAGACATTTTTTCATTTCTGTTTGTTGTTGTTATGTGTTTTTGATTTCTAGCATTCCTTTCAATTCTTTCTTGCAGTTTCCATCTCTCTGTTTACATTACCCATTTGATATTACATAATATCTGCCTTTCCCATTAGGGCCTTGAATGTATTAATCATAATTATTTTAAATTGTCTGATAACTCCAGTATTTGTGTTATAGCTGAGTCTGGTTCTCATGTTTACTTTGTCTCTTCAGACTGTATTTTTTTTTCCCTATCATTTTAGCATCCCTGCAACTTTTTAATGAAAGCTGGTTGTGACGTATTGAGTAATAGGACCTGAGGTAAATGAGCCTTTACTGTGAGGTTTTATGTTAATCTGGTTAGAAGCTGGGATGTGTTTGTTTTCTGTAGCTGTAGGTGCCAGAGGATTCAAATTCCTCTAGTGTCCTTGTTTTTGTCCCCTGTTATCTTAGGGTTTCCTTAAGAAATTCTCTTTAAATAGAGCCAAGGCAGCTCTTTCAGCTGTAATCCACTGTTACTATACTGGAGGCTTAAAACTCTTATGATTAGATCTTAGTCTTTTAGTGGGCCTATGTCTCTGGACTGGACTGTGATCTTCACAAGTATTTCTCTATAAATTCTCTGTAAGTATAAACTAAAAAAATTTTCCGCCCTCGACTCCCTCCCCTGGCTTCTTTTTCCCAGTTTGTTTCCTTGAAGCCCTTACCCCTTTTGACTATGTTCTTTTTTTTTCTCCCTTAGGTGAGGTAGGAAGCATAGAGGTGGCTGCAGTGGGAGCGATGCCCTTCACACAGCTGATATAGGGCTCTGACAAAGTCATCTTTGTTACATCTTTGTTAACAGATCTTTGTTAAGGTGAAGTCTCCGTGCACATCGTGTGATAGTTACTCTTCCCCTTTCCCAGCCAGAGCAATGAAGGGATCTTCACCATGACAAGGGATCTTCACCTGGTGATGTTCCCTTAAGTAAGGCCCAGAGAAGTTAAGGGTCCTCCTAACACTCTGGCAACCAGGGAGTTTCTCATTCTCACGCTAGTCCACACTCAGCCTCTAGCAATTTGTCAAAATTACTGTTTAATGTTTCTACCAGTTATGGCTCCAGGTTAAGAAGGTCTTGCCTGTGACTTTGAAGATCTGCCTGTATTTCTAGATTTCAGAGTGACAATTCACTATGCAACCTCACTTCTCTGATGGGTTCAAGAAAAGTCATTGGTTTTCAGTTTGTTCAGCTTCCTCTTGTAAAAATGGGAGTGATATCTTCCAAGCCCTTTACATGGTAGAGAAGCTGGAAGTCTACATATATTTTATTTAGTGAGTCCCTATAGATGGACAGCTGTATTTTCTCCAGCATCCTAGGAACTAGAACTCTGTGCACTAGATTAACTATTTTTTCCTTTGGAGAAATACTTGAAGAGGGATTTCTAGGTCAAAATATATGTCTGTTTTAATATGTCTGTTTTAAATGCACTCCAGTAAGCTGGCAGTTTATAATTCAACTAACATGGCACAAAGTTGTTTTCCAAGATGCTGGGTCTTTTGATATTTTTAGAATTACAATGATATCCACTGAGTCTGAAAACTGGGATGAGGAGGAAACTTGGGTTCCCTCCCGATCTACGAGGCATTTGAAATAACACTCCAAGATCTTCCTGTAGTTTCAGAGGTAAAAAGACTATTAAACAGAAATTATTTCCAAGTTATAAGGGATGTTAAGAGACTTCTGCTCTGGTTCTTTTTGTTCTCTCTCCCTCAAGCAGATCAGGTGTAATTTTCTTCATTTTCTATAGGACCAGAGAAGACAAGGAACTACCCCATGACTGGTAAATAGGAAGGACAGGATATCAGTCAAGAGACTTGCCATCTCTATTTCCCAACTAATGAGTTACTTTGAAGATACAGAATATACTTCATCAGCTAGGAAAATATTGGAATCTCTCTTTGAAAAAGATAATTGGCAAAAGAGGAAACATGGAAATTCTGTTGTCATGTTAATAATTATAGGGTTTTTTTCTATTTGTACACAGGTTCACTAATGATTTATCAGTTAAACCCTGAGTGAACTTTGCTCTTTGACCCCAATCCTTCTGCCAATACCAGAGCAGGGTCCGTAAGATAACAGCTTTTCCAAAGTGATTCTTTCTCTCTCCTAACTCATTTAGGAGTGACGGATTGAAGGAAAGGGAAACATTTTGGAAAGATTTCAGATAAAACCCAATTTACATGAAACCTCCTATGACAGGTATTCCATTTCAGTGAACGGACTCTGAAGGAGGGCATGTGCAGGTGTTGAGACTGAGGGGCAGAGATAGCAGGTGTGCTGGGGAGAAGAACTGCATGGAGGTGAGGCTCAGACACTGCAACCCTTAGGTAGC